CGCCACCACTAGCCTCCCGAGGCGGCCCGGCATGAGCATTTTGACCAACTTCCGCAGGAATTCTGCCGCGCAGCCCACCCACATTCCCATTCCTTCAAGCACTCCACTGCCCTATCCTGCAGCTGGTCACGATGTACACAAATGTGCAAATTTCTAGTTTATCCTAAGGGAGTGCTCAAAGAAGTATGAAAGTATGTGTTCAAAGACGCTCGTCCCAAAGTCCCCTGTAACTGAAAAATTGGGAAGCCCAATAAGGGACTGAATGAATAAATTACATCCACGCAATAGGGATACCACGGCATCATTAAACTTTACATAGAGAATGTATAGCTATTGACAGACTTTCACAATATATTGTTAAAAGGTAAAAATAGCCCTGGCCGGTTTGGCTCAGCAGTTAGAGCATAGTCCTGCAGACCAGGGAGTCCAGGGTTCCTTCCCGCTAAGGACATGTGCCTCAACTGCGGTTTGTCCTGTCCCAGTTGGGGTCCTGTGGGTGGCAGCCACTCAATGTGTCTCTCACATTGATGTTTCTGTCTCTTTCCCCCTCGCTCTGTCTGAAGATAAATGCAAACATGTCCTCGGGTGAGGATAAAAAAAAATAAAGATAATAAAAAGGTGAAAATATATTCCCTATAAGTGTGAGAAGCAGCTGTTGCTTTGTGGTCAAGACTCAGGAGCACATAGGCATTTGGAGGCAGACATATGGACCCACTTATGCAGGGTGACCTTGGGCAATTGAAGTATTCTAAGCCTTAGTTTTGCCATCTCTAAAATGGGAATAGTGCCCTGGATGGTGAGGCTCAGTAAATAGAGCATGGGCCTGCAGACCAAAGAGTCACGGGTTCGATTCTGTCAAGGGCACATACCTCAGTTGTGGTTTACCCCCAGCCCTGGTTGGGGTTGTGTGGGAGGCAACCAATTGATGTGGCTCTATCACATCGATGTTTCTCTCTCTCTCTCTCCCTCCCACTCTATCTGATAGTAAGTAGAAAAATATCCTCAGGTGAGGAATAAATAAATAAATAAAATGGGAATAATGCCCCCTCATAGTTGTGAGGATTAAATGGGATCATCTGCACATTTATGATATTTATCGAATACCTCTGTGGCAGGCAAACAAATAGTTCCTGCCCTCTGAGAGCTTCCAGTCTAGTAAACAACAGACAAAACATAAAAATAAGTAACAGGCAATAGTGTAAGTGATCAAGGGAAAGCAAGGGTGTAATGAAACTAACAAGGGATCTGACTTGGGATGTCAGGAAAGGCCTCTGGCATTTAAGATGAAACCTAACATGAGAAGAGAACTGTGTATGGTTTAGCTGGGGTAACAGACAACATGGGCAAGGGCCCTGAGGCAGCAGAAGCTGCTGGCACCCAGCACTTGGCATAAGGCCTGGTGTATAGTAAATGCCAGTATAAGGTAGCGATTGTAATGGAAAAAAACAGGAATCTATATGCTCACCTGAAGGGCAAATAGATGGAAGTCCCAACCGCTGACTGTCAGTCATGGTTATGGGAATGGTGGGTTTAGGGTGAATTTTACTTTCTTCTTGATATTTCAGTATACTTTTTTATAGTGAACTTGTATAACATAAACAGTCTTTATTTTGAAAAAAAGAAAAAGACAGGAATGTTCTCATTATTTACAGGCTAGAGAGTTGGTGTTGACTATACCAGTCTCACCCTGAAACAGAAAACCAAACCCTGCTGCCCTGCTCTGGACTGGGCACTGAGCTGGACAATGTGACCTTCAACAGTGGCTCTCACTGGGCTCCCTACACTGGGGGGAGAAGGGGGAGTGACCATCTGCTGGCCTACCCTGTGACTCACTTTGGTCCAGTGCCCTCCCACCCCTCAGTGTCAGTAACCTCCCCTGTCCCCACAGAAGGCTGAAGGAGCATCAGGTCAGGTAGGTGGACACAGCTGTTCCCAGGCTTCCAGCTGGACCTGCTCAGAGGCCCTGATTCCTAGCAAAGTGGCCTGACGGCGCACAAATGAAGGCTTTGAGAAGCTGCGGAAGGTGGTGGCACTGAACTCAGCCTCAGCAAAACACTGACATTCCTCCTCCGGCCTTGGACCTCACCTAACTTAACCTCTCCCAGTTGGCACCTTGCCTTGGCCAGGAGAACTGAGGCTGGCTCCCAGGGGTGGAGCAGCCTCAGACAAGACACTCCTCAGGACCTGGGTTCTTCATCTGAAAAGGGGGGGATTGGACTAAATGACCATTATGTCCAACACCCACCATGTACTGGGCACTTACTACAGGTCACAGAAGAGAACTTTGCATGTTTTTTTTCATTTACTACTTTTGGTACCTTCCCTTCTAGGCCTCTGCTCACAATGCCTGTCTCCTTCTCCCTGCTCCCCTAATCTTTCCAGATTCAGTTCAGGTATCATTTCCTCCAGGATTAAGCAAAAGCATGTACCCCATCGTTTGACAGAGGTGAGGCTTCAGGGTGGGAAATGAAAACATTTGGTTTTGGAGAAGCTGAAACCTAGTACTGAGGGTTATCAGGTGGTGACAGGGCAAGTGCCATCAGCTCTGTGGTCGTAGAGGATAAAGTTGTAAAGAAGAGCAGAGGAGAGACCAAAAAACTGTTCAGGGCGCAGGTGAGGAAAGAAACTGGGAAGAGACAGAGCCAACTCCAACCAAGGGAACCAGGACAACACCAGAAACCTGGGAGGATCCTTAGGAACTGTCAATAGCATCTCCTGTGGGCAGGGACTCAGGATAGCAAAGGAAGATGTGGGGCTGAGATAAGGAGGGAGAAGGGTTGTGGGTCAGGGAGGTTTTGCGCCCAGGGGACATCTAGCAATGTCTGGAGACATTTTTGGTTTATAGCTAGGAGATTACTCCAAACATGCTGCTAAATATCCTATAATACACACAGACCTCCTCACATTCACAACGCAGTATCTGGTCCTAAATGTAAACAGTGCCACTGTTGAGAAGCCTTGCCTTAGGGGATATTGGGAGCTCCCAGACTTTCCACGGGTGTCTCAGATTGGGTCTGGAAGCCCAACAGAAAGGAACAATGTCCAAGACTATACTGAAAACACCACTGAAGACATCTCTGTTGCCACCATTAGGCACCCCTGGAGCTGGTCTGGCCACTAGGAATACCCCTGCCCCCTGTGGCCAGGGCTTCCACCAGCACCACTCACATAGGCTGGTGCATCTGGTTGGTGGCACTTCAGTCACAGAACTGAATGCTAGCTGCAAGGAGGCTGGACAAAAAAGTGCCCTAGGGCTTCTACAGCTCCTGGTAGGGGAAGTGGACAGGCTCTGCTCATAGTAAGACTCATGGTGGAGTTCTGGGAACAAGTGACCACAATAATCAACAGTGCAGCGAAGGGGTGGGAGAAAGCAGGGTGATTCTGTTTGTTTCTCTGAAGGTGTCAGATGGGAAAACTTGTAACCTTTTGAAGATGGACAGGAAGATATCAGCCAAGATGGAGAAAGGCTGAAGGTATAGAAGGAAGGGCCAAGGAGAATGAAGGTACCAGATGAGGCAGAGAAGGTAGGTAAGACTGGGCCTCTCTCTTTGGCTATGCTTACAGTGGGTGTCCAGCAAATCTATGGAACCAATGAAGAACCATCAGAGAAAGATACCTGTCAAGACCCAGCCTTGGAGAAGCAGTTCAGGGCTGGGCAGGCAATTGAGACATTATCAAATTCATTCTACCACTGAAGCCACAGCACAGAGAAGGGGTGGGCCAGGGTTATTCAGCAAGTCTGATGGGCTGAGGCAAGACTCAGGTCTCCATTGGGTTCTGTTGGCGGTGGTGGTGGTGGTTTCTGGGTCTGTCCCCTTTTAAGAAGAAGACCCTGGGTAGGAAGCGTGGGTTGCGATTTTTACCTCCCTCCCAACCACAATAACAGAGGGAGGGCCAGTGTAGAAATATATGAGATTCTCACAATGGAGCCATAGCCCTAGATCATCAAGAGAACCGAGCCTGTGAGGATTTGTTAGGAAACTTGACTGAAAGAATGCTAGTACATATCACATTGTTCTTTATGGAAAAGATGACAGCTTTCTTGGTTGCTATCTTCACTACTGGCTGCTGCTTGTATATTTTTGGTAAAACTTCACATTAAGGACGTTTGGTGTAGTTATTATCAAAAGAGTGTGTACAACAGAAATGAATATGCCCCATGAGTGCCTGCCCATTATGAAGCTCTAATAATGTTACATATCCAAATTCCTGTGTGTACTGCTTCGTTTGTCATGAGTGAACCCATTTGAACTGAGCATCGACTTTCCTTCAAAAACTGGAATGGAATTCATGATATTGCCTTATTTAAAAAAAAAATTTAAATCAATAAATCTTACCTTATGGAAAGCTCCAAAAAAAAGCAGCAGACCCTGGCTTGGCAAGGTCAAAGACACAGAGCTGGAATTCCCACCAGAGCCCCTCCCTCCTCTGCCTGAGATGAGCACAGCTGAAGGGCAGCTGCTCGCTCAGGGCCTCTGCAGCTTCCCTGCCCTGTGACCACTGGTCTGTCTTGCATACCTCCTGAGCCAGAGAGCTCAGTCTGACCGATCCAGCTCGGGGCAGCCCTGCCATTACAAAGCACAGCCTTCTGCAGAGCTGCAGCCTGTCTCCCTAGCCCCCACCCATAGGCTGAGGGTCTCCCAGCATTGCCAGAGAAGACAAGTTGACTCTTTCCTGTGCCTGCTCTATGACTGTCCTCAGATAGCTGAGGATACAGATCATGTTGCTCCAAGGTCATCTTGGATAAACATCCTCCCAGGACACTTCCAGTCCCTTTCCAACACTGATCCTTTGTCAAGGACAGTCTGAGAAGGGAATAGGAGGCCTAAGCCAAGCCCCTGCATCGCTGTCCCACCAGGGCCTGGGGCTCCCCTGCTGAGGTGGGAACATTCTCTAAGGTGCTCTCTACATCTTTGAGGGCCTCTGGTTCCCCAACCCAGGCCCCTTGCCACCTGCCTGCTCACAGATACCTAGGGACAAAACCAGCTGTGACTTGCCCAGAGGGTTTGCTGGCTTTTATTATGTCTCTGCAGGGGGCTGAAACCTGTGCTACTTGGCTCAGTGACACAGTGGAGCCAGCAGCAGGTGTGGCTCCGCAAAGCCTGGTTCTGCTACCTCCCCACAGAGGGCAGCAACCAGCCAGCCATCAGTCCTAACCCACCAGGAAGGTCCAGCCCTGGACCCCTCCTACCTCCCCCAGCCTCTCCGCAGGGTTAAGTCTGCCGCACAGCGGCCTCTGAAGGTCCCTTCAGCGTCCCCTCCAGGAGGCCCCTGGGAGGAAATCTGGCCCTCTGTGGCCCAGTCCCTTCAGCTAGGGCTCAAAGCTGGCTCCAGGGGGCCAAGTAAACATGGCCTCTGCTCTCACAGGGATGACTCTCACCGCCAACCAGTCAGTGCCGCTTCATCTTGGCCACGCTGCCTCCTCCTCTTCCTCCTGGCCCCTTGAACTCTGGGCTGCAACAGGGCTATAACTCAGACCGGGAACGTGAGATCCGCGGGCCTTTTCGGATCTCTTTCCGCTTTTCCTCTTTCTTCCGGCGTTTATTCTCTTCTCTCAGGGCCTTCTGAAAAGGGTCGGTGCTAGAAAGGAACTGAGGGGAAGAGCAGATGGTCTGATTTAGTCGGCTGGCAGCAGTGTACTCTGCGCTAGGCCGCTGGGGCTGTGGGGACAGCAGGGCTACTTAGAGCAGGCCCTGCCCTCAGGGAGCCAATGCACGGAGATGGTTAAATGGGCTTGGGGACATCTAGGTGGGTCCTGAAAGACAGGCAAGAGGCTGACAGCAAACAGGGTGAGGGAAGGAGGACATTCCTGGCAGAGGAACAGGCGCCAAGGTATGAACAAGGGCGGGCATCAGAGGAACATAAACAGACTCCTCCCAGGGTGAGGGGGCTGAGTGCTGGACACCACAGACCAGGCCTCCCCCGAAGCCTGGGCTACCACACCTGAGGAGGGAGGGCAGCCAGTGAGAACAGACAGCAGGCACACAGCCTCCACAAGTGTGCACAGGAAGCAGGCAGATCAGAGGTCAATCTGACAGCCCCTGGGAAGGGGTGGGAGGGAGAGAAGGCAATAGTGCCCAGGCTCAAGCTTCCACAGATGGTGGATAGTGGCGCCGGTGAGAACGCGAACACGGGTGAGCAGTGTGGGAGGAGGACGAGGACTTCAGTTGGGGGCACTCTTCAAGTGCAGTCCTGGGCCCTGCACTCTTCTCCCTCCGCTCTCTCCAAACGCCTGGCTTCTGTTATGTCTGTATGGCTAGATGACTCCAGTGTGCACCTCCACACCTAAGTGCCTGCCTGGCACCTCCACTGGGATGTCCCAGACGTGCCCCCAACTGGGTATGGCTCCATCTCTCCAAAACCCAGTCTCCTTCCAGTGTCACTGTCCTCATGAACAGTGCTTCTCCTACCACATGCTACCTCCTAGCCTTACGAGCTCATTCTGGCCCTCCTGCGGGAGATGGGGAGCTGGCAGACCCCTCAGGCCACCCCCATACCTTCTGGCTCTGACTGGGGAATAGCCAGTTTCGCTCAATGGTTAGAGTATAGGCCCGAGGACCAAAAGGTCTCGGGTTTGATTCTGGTCAAGGGCACGTAGGTTCGATCCCTGACCACATTCAGGGTCATGCAGAAGGCTACTAATCGGTGTATCTCTCTCTCACATCAATGTTTCTCTGTCTCCCTCCCTCCCTTCCACTCTCTCTAAAAATAAATGAAAAAATTAACAACAACAACAAAAAAGAGAGAGAGATCCTAGTCCTTTCATCCCCAGGTGGCTCAGCCTCACCAGGAGAGTCCAAACCTGGAAGAGAAACACAGCCCTTCCCTTTCCTGGATCCCTTCCCCAGGAAGCCTGGCTAATGCCTACTTTAAATTCCCGATGCTGAACTCAAGTGGGCTCTTTGTGCTGCCTGGCAATGGAGCAACTCTCCTACCTCCGCACCATCAGTTCTTCCTCCCTAGTGGGCTGTTTCCATCAACATCCAGACATGACAGCTCCTCCCATATGATTACGTTTCCCCTCGAACCCACACCGCCCTCCAGCTCCTCTCCCACTGCTCCGCTCCCCTTGAAAACTCTTCAAAAGGGTTGTCTATACTTCCTGCACCCACTTCCTTTCCCCTCATTTTCTTGAAATCCAATCTTTTATCCTCACCCTTCTACCAAAACAGCTTTTATTAGGGTATCTGATGGCCTCCACCTTGCTAAATCCAGTGGATGGTTCTCAGGCCTCCTATTTCCTGGCCCTCCAGCAGGGTTTGATAGGCCATCACTCCCTCCTCTAACTTACTTCATGTGGCCTCTGGGAACCAACTCTCTTGGGTTTTCTACTCTCATGCTGACTTCCTTCTTTGCTAGTTCCTCCACATTCCCCCAACTTCTAATTGCAGCCACATCTCAGGCCTTAGTCCTTAGACTGCTTCTCCATCTGCCCTGACTACACCCCCAAGTGATGGCATCCTGGCCACAGATTTTGATATTTTCTTTATATGCATGACTCTCACATTTGTAGCTTGAGCTTCAACCTCTCCCGTGAAATCTAGTCATACAGCCAATTGCCTCCATGACATTTTCATTCAGATGCTCATCAGGTTGACACAAAATCTTGATCCCCGATCCAGCCTTCAACCTGCTCCCACCACATCTGCCCATTTTAGAAAACGGCAGCCCCAATTCTTCCACATGCTCAGACCAAAAATCTTCAATCATCCTTAATGCTTCTCCCTCACTCCACATCTGCTTCCTTAGCAAATCCTAGTGTCTCTGCCTTCAAAACAGAACCGAAATCTCACCAGCCCCACTGCTGCCACCCAGTTCAAGCCACCATCAACTCCCAAATGGAAAAGCACAAGAGCCTCCTCACCAGTGTCCCTGTCTCCACCCTGGTCACCCAGACCACTCTCCACATAGCAGCCAGGCTGATCCTTTAAAGGGGTAAGTCAGAGCCCACCACCCTGCTTTCCATGTCTCTCAGAGTAAATGCCAAGGCCCCTGAGAAACCTCCCAAGGGCCTTGTGACCTGGCCCACAACTCTGACTTCACCTCCTTGCAGTCCCCACCCCTCCAAATAAGCCTCCAACTCAGGGCCTTTGCACCTGCTGCTCCTTCAGCCAGGAATGTTCTACTCCCTAACCCTCAACTATATTCTGACTCTCATTTCCTTCAGGTCTTCTCAGTGAGACTCTCTGTGTCCAGTCATGAAAACTAACAACTGTAGGTTCATCTTCGGCTCTGGTAGGGGTTGTGCGGGAGGCAACCAGTCAACGTGTCCCTCGCACACCGATGTTTCTCTCTCCTTCTCTCCCTCTCTCTCCCTTCCACTCTATCTGAAGATAAATAGAAAAATATCCTCGTGTGAGGATAAAAAAAAAAAAATGCCCGGGCCGGTTTGGCTCAGTGGTTAGAGTGTCGGCCCATGGACCAGAGAGTCCCGGGTTCAGTTCCCCTAAGGGCACGTAGGTAGGTTGCAGTTCGTCCCCGGCCCCGGTTGAGGTCATGCAGGTGGCAACTAGTTGATGTGTCTCTCTCACATTGACGTTTCTCTCTCTCTCTTCCTCCCTCTCTCCCTCCTGCTCTATCTGAAAATAAATGCAAAAATGTCCTCAGGTGAGGATAAAAAAAAAATAGCAACTGTACCTCCATCTTACCCCAGAATTCCTTAACCACATTCCCCCCAATTTTTCTCCACAGCTTTTGTCACCACTTACCATGGTATATGTATATATTTTTAAAGATAAGCCTTTTCAAGATAAAGTGTTATTCTTTTTCTTTTCTTTTCTTTTTTTCTTTATTGATTTTAGAAAGAGAGGAAGGGAAAGGGAGAGAGATAAAAACATCGATGAGAGAGAACATCAACTGGCCACCTCCTGCATGCTCCCCAGTGTGGATCGGGCCCACAACCTGGGCCTGTGCCCTGACCAGGAATTGAACCAGCAACCTCTTGATGCATGGGTTAATGTTCAACCACTGAGTCATACTGGCTGGGCTTTTAATTTTGGAGAGAGGGAAAAGGAAAGGGAGAGAAACATTAATTGGTTGCCTCCCATTACATGCCCCAACTGGGGACTGAATCTACAACCCAAGCATGTGCTCTGACTGTGAATTGAACTGGAGACTCCTCAGTGCATGGGACAATGCTCAATCAATTGAGTCACACCGGCCAGGGCTATATTCTTTTTTTTTTTATCCTCACCTGAGGACATTTTTTTTGTTGTTGCACTTATCTTCAGATAGAACAGGAGGGAAAAAGGGAAGAAGAGAGAGAGAGAGAAACATCAGTGTGAGAGAGACATATTGACTGGTTGCCACCCACACAGCCCCAACCGGGGCCAGGAACAAACTGCAACCAAGGTACATGCCCTTAGCGGGAACCAAACCCAGGTCTTTCTGGTCCGCGGGTCAACGCTCTAACCACTCAGCGAAACCGGCCAGGGCAAGGGCTATATTCTTTATTGACTGCCTGTCTCCTCCAACTAGAATGTCCCTTCCAGGGACAGCAGGGCGAGTCTGTTTCTCTAGTGGCTGGGATTCATTAGGTGCTCACTAAATGTTAAATAACTGAATGAATGTGTATGTCGCTGAACCTTTGTTTAAGCTAGTCCCTCTGCCTGGAAGGTCTTCCCTGAGCTAGTCCACCTGGCAACTCTTACTTATCCCAGAGCCTTCACCACCTACCAGTAGAGGCTGGGTCAGGTCCTTCTCAGGGGTCCCATGCTCACATCTTCCCTCCTACACTGGCACAGTGATCACACTGGACTGGGACTGTGTTTCTCTGCTGCTTTCCCCATCAGACTGTGTGCATCTGAAGAGCAGAGAGAGGGCCGCCCCTCAGAACAGGACAGTGGCCAGCACCCAACCTGACACAAGTTGGCACTAGAAAAGGCTACATACAGGAGGAAAGGACCCCAGAACACTAGCCAGTGTAGAGGGAGTGCATGAGGGGAGCTGAGCAAGACCAGGCTATGCCGACGGACAGGTCCAGCTGGACATCAAGTGTGTAAAACCTTGGGGCTGTCCCTAGACAATGAGAAGGAAAGTATGTTGCTGCTATGGTTCTGTCCAAGCAGAGCATGTTACGATGAGGCTAAACTCAGTCTACCCTGGAGCCCATTCTTTCTGGAGGCCTACACTTTCACCCTCCTCCTGTGTGAAGCGTCCATGACTGCAGGGCGAGGAGAGCGTGTCACAGCAAGAACGCATCCCTGTGGGCGCTCCCACACTGGGAAAGGCAACCTGCCACGGTCTTGAGCGTCCCTGCATGATCTTGCTAGGTACACCAAGAACCCAGCCCAGACTGTTCCTTACCGGGGCCATTTATCAGGACTGTGATTGTAGTAAGCAACCTTGGGGAACATGTCACCTTGGATTTACATGAAAGGGTGACAAAACCACTGGCTCAACAGGGCCCTCAATTCAGAAGTTACCCTAAGTGCTCAGTCCACTGATAGTTCAGCTGAATTACTAGCCAATGGTGCTGTGCGGAAGAGTCACTGACTGCTATTTCTGAAGGCCTGCTCCCAAGGCTGGCCCTGGGCTGGTGTCTGGGAACTTGGATTCTGGAAGGGCACCCACCACCCTAATTGATAAGAGTGGCTCCCTGTACCTAAGCTGTCGGTGGTTTATGCTGGACACCTGCTTTCCTTCTGGGAGTCTGGAATTTTGGTATGTGCCAGGCAGAGGGTGCCTACATGACCAGCCAGCTCCCAATAAAACCCCTGGGCACTGAGTCTTTAATAAACTGCCCTCATAGACAACCTTTTACATGTGTTGTCACGTGGTGCTGGGAGGATTAGGTGTGCCTTGTGACGCCATTGGGAGGGGACTCTTGGGAGCTTGTGCCCAGTTTCCCTCAGACTTCACCCACGAGCCTTTTCCCTTTGCTGATTTTGTGTGTTTTCACTATAATAAGTCATGGTTGTGAGCATAACCATGCACTGAGTCCTAGTGAATCATCAACCTGGGGGTGGTTTGGGGGACCCCTGATATAGCTGTGCATGGGTGGCAGCAGCCATCAGCCCCAGTGACAATGAAAAACTAGCTGCCACAAAGGCCAGTCATACAATGATCTGAATTAAAAGCCATCACCCCTTACCTAGACGATACTCCTAATGGCCAGGAATATTATATTTTTACTAACTAGTGTCAGTGTCCTAGATATCTGGTCTACCACTCAGAAGACTACAGACTGGTGGATCAGATGGTCATCCCTCTTTGGGGCCATGAACTGTGGAAACAAATTGTGGTTGACAACTGGACAATCTGAGTCGCTCACTTAGATGCCCATAATAAGGCCCCTTCTCTGATGAGACTGACCAGAATCAAACTGCTGAGTAAGTCTACTCAGATGGCAGTCATTGCCACCTGAATGCATCATCGTACTAGATGAAGCAACACCCCTGCCACCACGGAGTGGCACAAAACAGACTCTGTATTTCTGGTTTGAATACCTGGAGTCCCAGGTTGGAATAGTGCAGCCCAAGACCATTAGGATAATGACTAAGTGGTTGTACGTTACTTGCCAACTCCCCTCACAGTGGCCCATGTGGACCAAGATGGGAGATATGATATGCCTCTGAAATTTTTCTAAAAACACCCTTGTCCCATTCACATCTGACCCTTCTGGACAAAGATCTAGTTGAGAGGAGGGGATGATAGGCGAAATAATGACACCTGGGATGTGGTGCATTGATTTCGTAGCAGTAATCCCAGTCTCTAGGGAGAGATCACCTTAGATCTCAGGAAGTATGGGGAACAATTAATCCTCTTTGTGTCATATCCAGCACTGCCACTTGACAAAACAATCCTAGGGTCTGCCCAGGCCAAGTGGCAGCTGCAGATGACAATCTGACCAGCTGCTGGATGTGTCACTCTCCACCACGTGGGTACTGAACTATTCTGGTGGGCAGATGTCAGCAAAGGCAGCTCCTGAAGTGACCCTGTGCAGAAACATATGCCAGTACAACTTGTCTCAATCTGTCAGATACAAATCCATCTCTTTCTCCTGATGCTGAGGGGCCTGGGGTTCTATCTTGTAGGGCAACTGAGGCTGCAACTCCACAGTGACACTCAGGATTCAGCCAAAGACGGTAATGGTGACCCAAATCCAGTGTAACATGTGGGAGACAGTGGGCCATGGAGTCTCTCTCCACAGGGGATGAGGGTTGCTGCGGGTCCATCTATTGCCCTTGTGTTTATTGGCAATAACATCAGAGATCAGGCAATTTAAACTCCTGTGTGGGTGGTAATGGGTAACAGATTGGCCTTAGACCACATATGATTATCTAAAATAAGCTCTATTGTTCCCCCCAAAACTGATCACAGCTGGCTGAGTCTGGGACCCTGGAGCACATGGCTGAGATCGATACTGCAGGCTGACCTCATCCTGCTGCTTAGTCCTGTTGACTGCAGCCTTAATTAAATGCAGTATGAGACAACTTGAACAAATATGATCCTAGCCTCTATCAGTCAGATTAATAGATGGAATAGCACATTCATGTGGAAATGTGAGTTAAGCCAAGACATGTAGGGCTGAGGGATGGCTTGTGGGGGAGGCAATCCACCATGGCCTGAGCATCCCTACATGTTCTTGCTGGGTACACCATGAATGCAAAGCCCTGACCACTCTGTACCTGGGCCATTTCTCAGGACTGTTTGCAGCAAACCCTGAAGGATGAGGTGATGCCGCCTCCACAAATGAAGAGCAGGTTTGCTTCCGTTCACTATAAAAGTGGTAAATTTCCCAAGCTGACATTCTCTAGCTACTGACTTTGTGGCACCCACCTGGGCCCGTGTGTCACCCCTGTGGGACTCGGAAAAACCAACATGACCAGTCCAACAGTCTGGATAATGCTTTTGCTGAAATAAACTCTGGTCTCTGACCTGTCAGTATCCAAGCAACAGAAGTAGGCTAGCTTGTTAGCCTACAAACGGGGTAAAATCTGAGACCCCTCATGAACTCTGACACCCCTTCCCTCCTTATACCAGGGGCGAGCCTGTGACTTGAAGAGCCCAGTCCTTCCTTCCTTCCCTTCTGGCCAACTCTGATCCCCTCCTCTTCTCTACTGTACGTGTCCCCATCTGTCATCCTACCCCAAAGCCTCCAGCCCTAAGAGCCCACGTCAGGCCCCTAGAATGAGAGAACGTACAAGAATGTAGGACAGAAACCCAGCTGGGTAAACAGAGGCTTAAGGACAGAGAAGAGCACGACATGACCTCCCCTGGCTTCCCGCACATCTACCTGATGTGGGGTGCCTACTGTACAGAAGGAAGGGTGTATTCACAGCCTCTGACTGCCCCCCACAGCTGGGGTCCCCACTTCATGAATAGATAGGCAACTTGAGGCTAAGACAAGGGCAATGGCTTGCCCAATGGCACCTGTGAATGAGTGATGGTTCCTGGACCCACACCTGGGCATACCTGGCTCCAAGTCCAAAGTCCTCACACTTCACCCCAGGCACCCCAACCCTTGCAGGACCTGGCTTCCCATGGCCCAGGAGAAACATAGCAGACACGGCCACAAGCCCCCCAGAGCTCACCTCTGTGTGGTCTACTTTAAATGGGTTCTGGAAGTCAGAGTCTTTCTCACTGATCCCCAGCTCCTGGGCCATCTGCAGACAAGGAAAAGTTAGTCTTCTTCTGCCTTCTCCTTCCTCTTGCTCACCCACGGGCCACTCCCTCCACATTGGAACCCAGGGCCCAAGACTTGGGCACATGTGGGCCAGGTGATGACCCACAGGGACCCAGGTCAGCATAGAACCCTTTGAGATGGCACCTCAAGGGGCCCTGAGGCTTATCACAGAAAACGCAACCAAGAGCTGACATTTAGGCCCAGCTGCAGGTAATTGTGAAGCTCACAGGACATGGGAGCCGGGCTCCAGACTGCTTCCACCCAGTCCTTACCAGGTTGAGGATGGGCGAGTGGGGCCCCTGGTCAAAAACGCCCGACTGGTTGCAGAAACTGATGCCCCAGCGGATAAGGAGATTCCAGTTGGAGCTGTGGTCAAAGTAGTGGTGCACAATCCTTGGAAAGCGTAGCACCACGTCGCCGAAGAAGGCTGTGTTCTCCACCACTTGGGAGAAAGCTGGAGAGAGGAACCTGATGAGTGCCCAGGACAGATGCCCTTCTACTGACCTCCTGGCCAGCCCCAGGCACCCCCCCAGAGAATGGAGGCAAGCCAACCAAGCCCACTAAGCAGAGAAGGACCACTGCCTGCTGCCCACATATGCACTATGTGCTCAGGATTTTATGTCCACCAGATCACTGAATCCTCAAACCACCTTTAGAGGGACATGTGGCAGCTGTTCCCATTTTATTTTGTTTTTAAATATTTTTTCCTTATTGATTTTACAGAGGAAGGGAGAGAGAGAGAGATAGAAATACTGATGAGAGAGGACATCAACTGGCCACCTCCTGCATGCCCCCCACTGGGGTTTGGGCCCACAACCTGAGCATGTGCTCTGACCGGGAATCGAAATGGTGACCTCCTGTTACATGGGTCACTGCTTAACCACTGAGCCACACCGGCCAGGCTGCTGTTCCCATTTTACATTGGAGAAAGTGCGTGGCAAACACGGGCTGCAAACCCAGCTCTGTCTTGACTGCAAAGGCCCTGCTCTCTCCCTCGTATCTCATGGCTTAGAAGACTCATTTGCTGTGGGGACCGGAGATGTGGGTGTTGTTCTGCACACCGAGGCATATGCATCACATGAGGCTTTGATGAGGCCTCTCTCCACGACTTGGTATCAAATGTCCAGAGCCTGGTGTTAGCACAACCAGTGTCTGTGTGGGGTCAGGTCTGTTAGCATGGCCAGGGAATATGTCAGGGTTTGTTTTTAAAAAATACTCCTCCAGTTTTATTTAATTGTAAATGCTTCTTCAGCACTTATTTTGGAATAATTTCGGGCTTAAACAATACACCATAAAATTCCTTCACGTAGCTTCCTGTATTGTTACCATCTTACATAACCAATGTACAACTATCTACATTAGAAGTTAACATTGATGTAATACATCCCTAAACCTTATTTGAATTTCATCAGTTTCCCCACTAATATCCTTCCTCTGGTCAACAGGTCAGCCTAGACTGTGTTTAGTGTCCATCACGGTGGCAGGTCCCCCTGGCCCAGGCTAGCGTGAAAACTAAGTACAGACCCAGCCCTGGTGGCAGCTCCTGTCCAAGCACCCTGCAGATAAGGCCCAGGCAGCCCTCTCCAGCTCTGGCCGGGCCACACTCAGAGGTAAGCAGTGATATTCGTCAAAGTACCCACCATTCAATATGTAGAGGCTACATCCATCCTCTCTCAGTGTGATCTAAGGAATTTTATTGTAAAAATATCATCAGTTAATGGGAAAATTACCACTGGAGAGAAATTCTTGGAAGAAGGAATGAAGAGACACAGCATATTATTTTACCTTATTTTTCTATGTTTGTCCCATCTAGTCTCAAAAAGGATTTAAGGAGGTTGAGGCTTTTAGAAGGGTAGTCAAGAATGTGGACAGCCGCCCCCACTGTCCAGTCACTCCAGTAGGCCTCTTTTTTCTCCTGTAAATGGGAATAGCCCTTGCCTTCTCTACCAGAAAGGTCAGGGTGGTGAAGGCAAAGGTCCCTGAGTGGTAGTGGGCAAAGCTTCGTCCCTGGTTCCCCTGCTCTGAGCACAGGACAGCATAAAGGAATACATTTGTGTCAGGGACACTGAAATTGGCTCTGAAGCCCAGAAATTTTTGGAGAACCATATACTAAGTGCCTATCCAGCAAAGGGGAACACTTGGAAAGTGCCACAAGAAGGTATTTCCAGAGAGAGAAAAAAAGAGTGACAAAAACAGGAGGGAAGAAACAACCAGAGAAGATCAAGGTGGTGGGGAAGAGGAGAGGGAGGGATTAGGAAGACCATACCATCCTTTAGTTTCTCGTCCTGGGGGAAGGGCCCATCTGGGAGCACGTCTGCAGCAATGAGCACTGTCCGGGAGTCCTCCAGCACCTGAGGGAACCCCGCCTGGCTGAGTGGCTTTGCAGAGGCCTTCACAAACCAGCTGCAGCCATTTACTTAAACCCTACCTCAAATCTTTGGTTCATGCAGTTCCCTCTAATTGAGTACCATCCCCTTAAGGAACTCCTACTCATCCTTCAATGCCCAGATCAAAGACTAGGCCTGTCATGAGCTGCCCCATGCCTGCATGCACCTTAAAGAGCCCCTTGAGCATGACATCAAGGATCTTGTACTGCTGGTGGACATCATTCAGCTGTACCAGGTTTTTCAATGCCAACAGCTGCTCCCGCCGCTTCACCTCAAACATCTTCTTGTCTGAACAGCATTAAGTTAAGGAGCTGGCACCAATACTTCTGCCTGGATAATCCAGTGGTCGCAACCCAGAAGGCCCATTCCAAACCAACAAATAGCTGCAAAGGCCACAGATGCCCATGTCTGAGGCCCTCCCCTGCAGGGACGTAACAAACAGAGAAGCAGTTCACATCCTGCAATGTTTATAAGGATTCCACACCCGAAGGCCTGAACACAACCCTTCAGGACCTGGCTCCTGTTCTCCCCACCCCATGGTCTTCCTACCATCTCCCCCAACCATTCACTATTCCCAGAACCTCCACTCCTCTGCTCTAACTGGATACTCACCTGGGATATCCCCCAACCCTTCTCTATGAGGCTTATTTCTTTAATCCTCACCTGGGTATATGTTTTTATAAATTTTAGAGAGAGGAAGGGAGAGAGACATCAATGTGAGAGAAAACATCAATTGGTTGCCTCCCATACGTGCCCTGACCAGGGATCAAACCCACAATCTAGGTATATGCCCTAACTGGGAATTGAACAAGCAACCTTTTGGTGTATGGGACAATGCTCCAACGAGTCACCCAGCCAGGGCATCTATGAGTTTTGTTCCTTCAAGAACTAGTTCAAAAGCCAGAGCAGTGATCACGAAGTACAATGTGAGGCCTGTGAAGTCCTCAAAGCCAGGGACTGGTTCTAATTCATCTTTGTGTTCCTAAGATCTGGACCACAATAGGTGGCCCAGAATGTCAGGGCCTGAGTCTCCTACCCAGGCCCAGGTGCCAGGCACATATGTACAATTCTCAGAGACCTCATGGCTCTGAGAGATGTGCCTTGCCTTCTCTGTTTAACATAATAGAGAAACTGAGGCTCAGAAGACAGTGGGCTTGATCAAGGTTTGATGAGAGTACCCTACCTTTTCTTTCCTATTCCCATCAGCTGGGCCTGATCCATCCCTAGAATGCCCCAAGGGTTTCTGAGTATAGATACCTCATTTATAGACTGCTCAGGTACAGTTCATGAACCCTACCTCCAACCCCAAAGGATACAGATCTCCAGGCTTGGGTCAAGGGAGGTCCTCAGGGTGCCTGTGACTCCTGTCCCAGATGCTAGCAGGATAAACAGGAACACCAGGAACTGTAAAAGGTCCATATCCATGACCCTGGAGCTAGGAGAGTAACCCAGAAAAAGGAGGTGAGACCCAGAGCTTGGTGTTATATAAAACAGAATGAGCCCTGGCCGGTTTGGCTCAGCAGTTGGAGCATTGGCCTGTGGTCCAGAGAGACCCAGGTTCAGTTCCCACTAAGGGCACATACCTTGGTTGCAGTTTGTCCCCAGCCCTGGTTGGGTCATGCAGGAGGCAGCCACTCGATGTGTCCCCTTCACGTCAATGTTTCTCTCTCTTCCTCTCTCTCCCTCCCACTCTATCTGAACAAAAAATGGAACGATGTCCTCAAGTGAGGATAAAAAAAAAAAACCAGAATGAGGTGAATGGCAACTTCCTGTGACATGGCATAGCCTCCAAATACCAAGACCCCAACTTTGGGGAGCCCTGGAGCCCCAGTCCCTAGCCTAGGGCCCATGACCAGCAGACACAGAATAAAGACTATGGGATAGAAGGCAGGAGGGAGCAAGATAAATGTCAGCAATGCTGGGATGCTTAGAGCACAGGGGTCCCCATCTGGAGCTCTGAGCTGGAGCCCTGTCTCTTCCCAACTAGAACACTGGGCAAACTGCTCAGCCTCTCTGAGCCTCAGCTTCCTCACTGTAAAACAGAAATAAAGAGGTCACCTCCCTGCTTCAGGGGGCAAGGAGTGGGTGAGGCCTTGTGCCTGGGGAAGGTGGAGCTGGTCAATATCATTCCTTCTCAACCCCCCCTCTCCATCCTGGCGTCCCAGAAAGGCATCTGGTCAAAGAGGCCCAGGCAGTCAGAGGGGATGTAAAACTTCTGATGTTTCCCCCTTTCCCTGATTTCTGTCATCAGAAAGGAAGGAACACAGGGCAGGATGGGAGTCAGGGCAGTTTTGGGGGTAAAAGGGATGCCACTCATTCACTTCGGAACTGTAGGCACCATAAGCAACACTATTCCTACTCAAGCAACATTTTGCAATTATTTATTGAGTACTTATGGTGTTCTGGGCCCATTTTAGAGCTGGGAATACAGCAGTGAATAAGATAAAACTCCCTGCACTCATGGCAGTTACTTCCACAGTAGGAGTAAGAGATAACCAATAAACTTGGAAAACAAGCACAGAAGAATGAGTGGGAGTCAGTGAGGTGCAATATTCAATACAGTGTTTGAAAAAGCCTTCACACTCAGATGACAGGGGCCCAATTTTACCAATGTGGAAATCAAGGCACAAAAAAGCGAGGTAACTGTCCAGTCACTCCGCTATTCCCCATGCTAAATCAAGAGTATAGTCTATCTCAGAGCAGGACTCTTCTACCAGGACACCTGCCCAAGGGAGAGAGATGGTCAGTTACTGACAGATCCTGCAGAGGTCACCCAGAGAACCACCCTCACCCCATACAGATGATATAATTGAAACCTAGAAAATGAAAAGTAGTCCAAGTTCACCCAGGACTCCCTAACTTTCAATGGCACGACTCAAGGGAACTGGACACAAGGGGAACTTGGGGCCAGGGGATATTATCAGACAGCAGGTAATGACAGAAACAGGGGAAGAATGGGAAAAGAAAGCAGAAAAACCAGGTTGCGTGGGGGAGGATTCTGCCTTCTCTACCGTTACTCCCACTTATCCGGCCTCCCGATCCCGCTCATGGCCCGTGCGTTCCTAGAGCCCTTTCCAGTTCCGCGAGTTACTCTGAACCCATTTTGCACGAGTGGCGCGGTGGTATCGGGGGGCCAGCTACCTGGGCTTGCAGACTCCGGTTGCTGTCCCCAGTCTTTGAGGCTCCGGGGGCGAGAAGGAATCTTGCCAAAGAGAAGGGGCGAATCTTACCTCCCACCCCAAGCAGTCAGTTCGGGAACCCTCGTTCTCCACTCCCCCATCGGGAACCTACCCACCCGGCGACCTCACTGCCACCTACCAGGCCGGGGGTGCCGGAACAGGTGGCCGGGTGGGCCCTTGGCGTGCAGCTCGAGCACCGCCGGGAGACCGGCAAGAGAGCGGATCCGCAGTCAGTAAGCGCTGGGGCCGCCGAGCGCCGTCCCACCCACCGCGCTGCTCCTGGCCAATGAGCCTGGGCCGCGACGACCGGGACGGCGTCCTCACTTCCGGCTCCGCCCCGCCGGGCTCTGGCGCTAGGCTCTTGCGCAGGCCGCTGGAGTCTGGTCGTGTTCAGCCTGCGCCGGGCTCGGTTGCGCGGTGCTCGGTAAAGGCGGGGTTGAGGAAAGTTAAGTCGGCACCAAAATTTGAGGGCGCGTCAGCAAACTGGGGCCCTGGCCCAGCCGGCGCCCTCCTCGAAACCGTTTCGTCAAGATCACTTTAGTGGGTCGTGACTAACACTTTCTTTTTTTAAGTAACCAGCTGTGTGAAGTTGGCACAACCCCTGCTCGGCCCCTCGGCCCACCAAGTTCTAAACCCAGTTTATCGGGGGCGTCCCAGTCGGTTCATTAGAAGAGTTCGGATCACTTTCGTGCGAGGTCCGTACCCGAGAAGGAAGGGTGGGCTGGCCAGTTCTGGGCACCGGGGCCCTCAGAGGCAGGCGGGCGAGGAAAGGAGCTAGTGGCCCAGTGGGCTGAGCTCGGAGGAGCCGGCAGCTGTGGGGCGCAGACATGAAAAGAACCGCACACGTGGGTGTACAAGCTCCAAGGAGGCTCGTTAAAGGAACACAGGGGACCTGCTTTAGCCAGGGAAGGGCTGAGCTGGGACAGTCCCCCTCAGCTAGAAAAGCTGACAAGGATTTGATCTGCTCAGCTTCCTTGCCTGGAAATTCTTTCCACTTTCGTGGGAGGTGAGGCAACAGGTCAAGTGCCTCTCAGAGCACTTGGATTATAGTAGCACAGAACACATGGCCTTTCTCTGCTCTTCCAGCCTTGAGGATGGATGGCCTGGCTAGTGTTTTCTGGGTACAGCTGAGGCAACTAGCTAGCACTGGTGCTCCTTATGTGTTAGGAGGGCCAGTCCCACCCCTTCCTTCCCTGAGGAGGCCACCCATCCTGGCTGAGGAACCTGCTGGAGAGGCCAAGGTAAATTGAGAGTGAAATGATTTTGGAGTGCTCACACAGGCATGTGGGTTTATCATTTTATTTCCTGATTCAACAATGGAGTAAATGGCTCCAGAAGAATGGCTGCAGTTGTCATCCATTCCCCTGAACCACTGTGCCTGTCTTCTCCAGTTCTCAGTTCTCTCCATTGCTGGGCCTTCAGTTGTTGAGGGTCAGTCTCTGATGTGGGACAGGGATATGGCCACCCCTCCCAGGCAGCTGGCAGCAAAACATGAGAGGAAAACAGCAGAGAGGTAGGACCAACCATGGGAGAACCACACTTATAGCCCCAGAAGGGTAAAAACGGTCAGACGAACAGAGGTGCTCCTAAGAAGAGTGGGCTAGATTCTAAAATTGACACCTAAACACTGGGCTAGGTAGGTGTATACAACAGGAACTAGGAAAAAGAGCCAGGAAGGCAGCCAGTAGGGGGTGGGAGGTAGCACTCCATACACATACCCACACCTCCTGACCAAAGTGTCTCTGGAGCACCACAACCACCCCCCAGTGGGCCTCTGACCGCTGCTTACAACCCCAGGCTTTCTCAGGGACATGCCAGTCACTCAGCAACCCCCACGTTGGACTGAGGGAAGCACCTGTGCCAACTGGGCTGGACGACTTTCTCCAAAGCTCCTGGGGAAAAACTAGCTCCTTTCTGAGTTTGGTGATGTAGCTTTGGAAACAGGCAAATCTGGGATCAAATGCTGATGGAATTTTTGGCATGTCATTTAACCTCTCTGGTCTAAGTTACAACTACATTAACACTCCTAGCTGCTGTGAGGATTAGATACAGTGTAATGTGACTGGCCCTTGGTAGGATCTTAATAAACAGAACAAGTCATTGTCATTGCTACCAGTAATTATTCTCACTGACCCCTGCTTACTTTAGAGGACAGGGCTGTAGACAGTGCACCTCTCTGTCCTGAAAACATGATGCCACACCATCCCATAGCCTGGGTGACTCTGCATAGGCCAAAGCTCCCAGGTACAAGAAAGGATACAGCATGTCCTGCAGGGGTGGCTGGGCTGAGAAGGCCTTGGGGGAAAGGCCCTCCAAGGAGGCCTGCAGGGTCTGGGCCATGTTATGATCAGCCAGGAGGCCCATGCTCTGGACCTGAGGGAAGACAAACCTTCTCTGAGCCTACTCCACACAGGCCCTCTATCCTCCACCCCCAGTACTCCTGACCTCCCAATGGCTGCTGTGGCTAGAGCTCCCACCCTCCACAGAGAAGATGGTATGGAGGGTCTAGCATCACAGTGGCTACACGCATCCCCTTCTTACACACCTGCAGGAGGAAACCACGCAGAGCCTGGAGTGTGGTGTTTGAGAGGGTAGAGAGGTCAGCCAAAGCTGCACCTTGCAGAACAAGACCCACCTCTTCATGAGTGAGGATGCTGCTGCTCTGGAACCGCATAAACTAGCCCGGGAAGAGAAGCCCCAACCATGCAGTGATTCAGCATCTCCTTCATTCACAGACATTTCCTGTATTTCTGCTGTGCTCAGCACTGGGCTGAGAACAGATCAGTAGCCCAAAGCACCCTGCCTTCAAGAAGCTCAGAATTGGTAAGCAAGAGTGGGGTTGTGTCATGGGAGAGTGGGGTTAATGAGGCAGAACGTGAGACCCTGAGAGTTGGCCTTGCTGAAGCCTTCAGTACTGCCCCACTCCCACCCCTCTGCCTTGCACCTCACACTCCACCATGTACTCATATCCCACAGCTCTCACTTTACCACCTGGATTGCATTTCTTCCTCCTCTGCCTATTAATCCTTCAAGCCTCAGCTAAAATGTTACCTTCACTATTGAATGTTCTTTCATCTAGTGCCGACTACATTATTCATCTCTCTCCCAGCTCTGGCAGAGTACTTGCTCTCTTCTTCAGGGTCACTTACTCTCTTCCCACAGCTAGCACTGATTTATTCACTGATCCACTTCACTATCATTCACAGGCTTGCTGCTTTGTTGTATATTCAATGGGCACTTACTGTGTACCAAGCACTTAGCATCTTTTCTACTCTACCACTAATAACATCACACTTTAACTGTAGTTTCCTTGTATGTCTCCTTCTCTATACTGAGATCCTTAAAGGCAGAGCATTTGGCTCATTGTCATCTTTGGTACCTAGTATAGGACCTGGCATATGGCAGCTAGGCTCTGGTCAATGATTTATGAGTGGGTGAATTGAGAAAGACTGTCCGGCTCTTCTGGGTGAGGAGACGTGGACATTGAGAGGAATTCTCTGAGTAGGCCTCTTGTAGGATGAAGGCCTGCCAAGTCCCCTCTACCTTCTTTGAGGATTAGAGTTACCTAAAGTAAGATGTCCCTGGCCTCCTCAGGACCACCTAGCTCATGACATTCTTTAGACCACAAGACCATCCTTTCTACACTTACCAGCGTCACGAGCCTCAAGATCTCAGGTCTAAGGAAAGAATTCTCTCCAGCATCCAGGAGGGTAAACAGCAAAAACCGATTCCAGGGCTGGGAGGCCACATGTAGTGCTATGGGAAACACCAGTCACCCTGGGATGTTAGTGCTGCTTTTCCAAAGTCCTTGGAACATTATTAAGGAGAACTTTCTCCTATTGGCTCAAAAAGGGCTATTCAGCTACAGGCAGGGCATTGGACAAGCTGACTCCAGGAGGTTTCTTCCCTGGGCTTCTATCCACTATGCTGCCTGGCTCAGGAGACCATATATCCCACTATTGTGGGAGGCAGGCAACAGGAAGAGCTTTGCCACTTAAGAGCTTTGTGGTTGAGTAAGTTCTTGACGTCTCTGAACCTCAGTGTCCTCATCTGTAAATTGGGTGTAACAGTGCCCATGCAGTGTTGTTAAAAGAATTACACGAAATAAATGTGATTCACAGAACAGGGGATGGCAGCCTGGAGCGGGAGATGGTGGAGCTGGCCCCCTCCCATCACCCTCATGGGAACATCAGATAATGGGCAGGGTTTCTACCCATGTCTGGGCTCCTGGCATGCAGGTAGTCAAGCAAGGCCTCCAGGCAGCCAACACAGGCATAGGACAATAAAGGGTCCTTCTGTAAGAAAACAAAAAACACAGATGTTCATGTCAGTTTTTGCTACCAATGGGTTTTGGAGCCAACCAAGAAAAAAATTTTGTTTTCAGAACAATTTGGATTTTATAACTTCAGATTTGGAATTGTCACTATGTAAGTAATGAAGATATGTTTGTTTGTTTCATCTCTCACCCACACAGAGCACAGTGCTTATACTGATGATTCACTACATTCTACCTACATTTGAGAGACTATTTTATTTCAGAAAAGGAGATGGACCCAGGGCCCCAGTAAGAGATTTATAGATAGTTTAGCTAAGCTAGTGGGTTTCAACATTTTTTTTTAAATCCTTACCCAAGGACATTTTTCTGTTTATTTTCAGATAGAGTGGGAAGGAGGGGGTAAGAGAAAGAGAGAAACATCCATGTGAGAGAGACACATCAACTGGCTGCCTTCTGCACTACCGGAGACTAACCGCAATTGAGGTACATGCCTTTGACCAGAATGGAACCTATGACTCTTTGGTCCAAGGGCTGACACTCTACTGCTGAGCCAAACTGGCCAGGGCAACATTTTTTTTTTAAAGCAGCTGAACCTTTCATCAAACAAAATTTTATGCTCTAATAAGCATGTGAAAAGATCTCATTATCATAGTCATTAGGGAAATGCAAATTTAAACCACCATGAGATACCACTTCACACTCACCAATAGCGAAAATTAAAAAGACTAACAATACCAAGTGCTGGCCAGAATGTTGAGCAATTGAAACTCTCATATGCTTATGTTGGGAAGGTAAAATGGTGCAGCCATTGGAAAATAGTTTGATGGTTTGGTTTTGTTTTATCCTCACTCAAGGACATTTTTGTATTGCTCTTCAGATACAGTGGGAGAGAGAGAGAGGGAGGAAGAAAGAGAAACATCGATGTGAGAGAGACACATCAACTGGTTGCCACCCACACAACCCCAACCAGGGCTGGGATGAACTGCAACCCAGGTATGTGCCCTTAGCGGGAACCGAACCCGGGACTCTGGTCTACGGGCCAATGCTCTAACCACCGACCTAAACCAGCCAGGGCCTGAGTCAAACTGATCAGGGCTGATGATTTCTTATATAAAGCTAAACATACACTTAGCATATGTGGAAGACAGAATTTTAAGATGGTCCCATGAGGCTCTGGCCGGGTAGTTCAGTTGGTTAGAGCATCATCCCTATATGCCAAGGTTGCAGTCAGGGCACATACAAGAATCAACCAACTGCCCTGATCAGTTTGGCTCAGTGGTTATAGCATCAGCCCACGGACCAATGAATTGTGGGTTAGATTCCCATCAAGGGCACGCACCTCAGTTGCGATTCATCCCTGGTCCTGACTGGGATCATGGGGGAGGCAACCACTCTATGTGTCCCTCTCACATCAATGTTTCTCTCTCTCTTTTCCTCCCTCTCCCTCCCACTCTATCTGAACAAAAAGGGAAAAATATCCTCGGGTGAGGATTAAAAAAAAAAAAGAATCAACCAATGAATGTATACATAAGTGGAACAACAAATCTCTCTCTTTCTCAAATCAATAAATTAAAAAAAAAAAGATGGTCCCATGACCTTTGCTTCCAGATGTTACTCCTGTGATTGTGTTACATTAAATGGCAAAAGGAAGATTGTTTGGGTGGGTCAAATCAATTTACACCAGACTTTAAAAGCAGAGTTTCTCGCCCAGCCGGTGTGGCTCAGTTGTTGAGTGTTGACCCATGCACCAAGAGGTCACCAGTTCGATTCCCGGTCAGGCCACATGCCCAGGTTGTAGGCCCAATTCCCAGTAAGGGGCATGCAGGAGGCGGCCAACTGATGTTCTCTCTCATCGATGTTTCTATCTCTCTCCTTCTCCCTTCTTCTCTCTCTAAAGTCAATAAAGAAAAAATTTTTTTTTTTTTAAACAGAGTTTCACCCTGGCCGGTTTGGCTCAGCGGTTAGAATGTTGGCCTGCGGTCCAGAGAGACCCGGGTTTGGTTCCCACTAAGGGCACATGCCTCGGTTGCAGTTTGTCCCCGGCCCTGGTTGGGTCGTGCGGGTGGCAGCCACTCCATGTGTCCCTTTCACATCGATGTTTCTCTCTCTCTCTCTCTTCCTCCCACTCTCTCTGAACAAAAAGTGGAAAAGTGTCCTCGAGTGAGGATAAAAAAAACAAAAAACAAAAAAAACAGAGTTTCTCTGGCTGATGGCAGAAGAACCAGAGAGACAAGAAATGTGATAAGGACTCAACATGCATTGCTGGTCTGAAGAAGAGGGGCCATGTGGGCAACCTTAAAGAGTTGAAAGAGGCCTCTGAGGAAGAAGTGAGTTATTTCCCAGATACCCGAGATAAGTACCCAGCCTAGCCAACACCTCGTTTTCAGCCTTCTGAGACCCTAAGAACCTAGTTGAGCCTACCCAGACTTCTGACAAAGACTGTGGGATAATAAATGGTTATTGTGTTAAGCCATTAAGTTTGTGGTAACTTGTTACACAGCAATAGAAAACTAATACATCATTTGACCTAGGAATCCCACTCTTACGTTTTTACCCCAAAAGAAATGAAAACATATATCCACACCAAGACTTGTACTTCAATTTTAAGAGCTACTTAATTCATAACAGCCAAAAATCTGGCAGTTCCAAATACCATGTATCAGTAGGTCAATGGATAAACAAATTGTGACATAGCCATATAATGAACTACTACTCATCAGTAAAAAGAAATAAAGTAATGATACATACAACAATATGAATGAATCTTAAAAGCATCAACCTATGTGAAAGAAGCTAGACACACAAGACAACATATTGTATGATTTCATTTATATGAAATTCTAGACATAGTAAAACTATAATGACAGCAGATTGGTGTTTGCCGAGCATCAGGGATGGGTAGAGGGGACTGACTTCAAAGAGGCACAAGGAAACTTTTGGGTGATGGAAATGTTCCATAGCATGAGAATTAAAACTCACCTAATTCTACACTTAAAAATCAGTGAATTTTAGTACATGTAAGTTATAGCGCAATAAAACAGATTTTTTAAAATGTAAAAACAAACTAACAAAATAATCCTATGCTCTCCTCATGCTAGTCTTTGGAAGGCAGAAGCCGGGTGGTTAAAGGTATGGGGCAGACTCAGATTTGAGTCCTTGCTTAGTCACTTACTGTTTGTGTGATCCTGGCTAAAGTTACTTAACCTTGCTGAGTAGGAATAAAAAGGTTACCTGGGTTGCTGAGAGGGTTAAATGAGAAAAATAGTGTTTAACTAGTGCTTGGCACAGAGTAAACACTCAATAAATAGTGAATATCTCAGTGAAATGCAGAACAGGGAGCAAACATGCTCCCTCTTTAACAAGCCCTGAGTCTTCCACAGAACCCCTAAGACCTCCAAGGCACACAGCTTGAAGTGGTTGAGCTAACACACTAACCTCATTTTAAAGCAGAGGAAATAAGGCCCAGAGAAAAAAATATTTGACTTGAGGATACCTGGGTAGTAGGTGGCAAGTCTAGACCAAACCATAGGCCTTGTAACAATAAATAAATAAATAAATAAATAAATAAATAAATAAATAAATAAAATAATATAAATGGAGCCACTTTATAGATTTTTTTTTTCCATTTGTGGTACGTGTCCCTAGCAGGAACCGAACCCGGGACTCTCTGGTCCGCAGGCCAATGCTCAACCGCTGAGCCTAACTGGCCAGGGTGATGGAGCCACTTTAAAATGCAGTTGAAGCTGCCATCCCAGAGGAACTGCTTGGCAAGTTTTTTTGTTTTTTTTAAAAATATATTTTTATTGAGTTTTAGAGAGAGAGGAAGGGAGGAGAGAGAAACATCGATGTGAGAACCATCTATCAGCTGCCTCCTGTATGCCCCCTATTGGGGATTGAACCCACAACCCACGCATGTGCCCTAACTGGGAATCGAACCGGAACCTCTCAGTCCATGGGACAACACTCAATCCACTAAGCCATACCGGCCAGGCTGCTTTGCAAGTCTTATGCTTCCAAACAGGACAGAATAACCTTTCAACTGGGCCCAAAGCAACACTGTGTCTGTGTCCCAAAGAACTGTTGGCAAAGATAAGAAGAAAGCAGATACTATGACTAGCAGACCTATGGCTACCAGACTGAAAATTAAAAATTTCTATTCCTACTGTTTAGTATTAGCATCACTACGTTAGCTTATTGCACCAATAGAAATGCCTTCCTTCTTTCCCTGGCCAGATTGACTCGGCGGTCCTAAGAGTCACAGGTTTGATTCCTGGTCAAGGGCACATACCTCAGTTGCAGGTTCGATCCCTGGCCCCAGTGGTGGTCATGCAGGGGGCAACCATCGATGTGTCTCTCTCACATCAATGTTTCTTTCTTTCTCTCTCCCTCCCTCCCTATCTGAAAAAAAAAAAAATCAATGAAAAAATATCCTCTGGTGAAGATTTAAAAAACAAAAGAAAAGAAAGAAATGTCTTCCTTCTCTGGATGTAATTGTTCCCATTTCTTTCTCATAAATACCCCTTGCCTTTGCCTCCTAATTGGAATCCTGTTTGGGTTTCTGCCTGAATCATTGCTCCCCAAATAGCTATTATTTTTTTCAAATTTCAAATAAAGGCTTGTTGGCTCTCACTTTGAAAGGACTTTTCTTTTTAGATTAACAGCTTTGCGCCCTTTCTCCTCCAATCTAAAATTAACTCTTAACCAGTGGGCACTTCCAGTCTCTCGCCAGGCACATAAGACCATACAGCCATGGGCCAGCATGCCTCAGTTTCCCCACCTGGTAAGGAGCTGTGGCCACAGTGCCACTCTCTGTGTGTCCTATTACCCCATACAACCAGCAAGGACACCCTGGATGGTGGCTGAGGAGCTGGGGATCACTAGGCATTAGGAATACCAGGGACTACCACTCAGGTAACAATGGCTCCTGTTCACAAGACACACTTCTTGGGACATTGAAAGAACATAGGTCTTGTAGCCAAAAGACTCAGGTTTGAATCCTGACCTAAAAGTGTGTGACCTTAGGCAAGTTACTTAGTATCTCTAGGACTCTGTTTTTTTGTCTATAAAATTGAGGTGATCATTTCTACTTTAGAGAGTCATGGTGAATAAATAACAGGTCAAGTGCTTGCACAGAGTAGGCACTCAGTAAAGGTTATCTCCCCATCCTCTCCACCTTCTACTCTCTTAGTCCCTTAACCTAACATCAACATCTACTCTTTGTAGGAATGATCTTTGCACTCAAAGCCTCAAGTCTTGTAAAACAGATTAGCCCCCTGATTTCCAATCTGATAACACATTCCACTTCCATCCCAATCAGAAAGCCAAGTCTGAGCACAAAGGATGTGTCTCAGGTCTACCCTTCCCCTCCCCCAAGACTCCCCAGGGATATAGCAGCTGCACCGGAATTAGAGAAGTAAGCCTGAAAGAGCACCAAGACCATCTGACTCTGGTTAGAAAAGTAAAGAAAGCAAAACCAACCAGTCCAGGGAGCCTCATTCTGAACCTCCAGGTGTGGGGCCAGATGAAGACAGGTGGCTGAGCAGACTAAGCCACTATAACCCTTCAAACTTGATACTTGTCAACATCTGTTTAGTGCATTCTTAAAGGTCTGAGCACTGGGGCAGTGGGTGGAGGAAGCAGCCTTTGGAAGCACCTATCTCCCCTCAGTATATTCCACTCAGCCAGTCCCAAACCCTGCAATCCCACCCTCTTCCAGAGATACAAACCGCCAGCTATCACTTCAGAGCATCTTCACATTTCCTCTCCCAGAGTTAAGACCCACCTCTGCCTGTGACCAACTCCTCCCCAAAGAAAAGGAATGACTAGACCAACTGATATTCTTTGAGGAGAAATACCCTCAGCTCAGCCTCTACAGCAGACATTCACTTGAACCCATTGTCTATAGAGAGGGATGGTTTGGTCTACTCTTGGCCAAAGGGTAGGCTCACTAGGAGGTGTGGGAATGAGTCCTGGGATTTTCCAGATCTACCTGTGACTGGATGAGTACATTTAATTCTGTGGTGAGGTTATCAGAAGGCCACTGTGTCCAAAGCCATTTCTTTGGCTTTACCAAGAAAACGGAAGTTTTTATCTTCATCTGATTTCTGTATCTACCACCCAAATAGTTTCAAAGGGAGATGGTGGGATATGGGACTGGAACACTTCTTTTTGGCCCTCTAATCCCAATCAAGGGTTTCACCTTCTGCCCCAGTTTGTACAGTATTTCCTTCTAACCACACACAATTCCTGGAGTTCTAGTCAGCAGTGTTCATTACATTCCCATGGCTGCTTGTGCCCATGACAAAATGGACTGCTGCCCAGCTCTGCCAGGAGATGAGCCTCTTAAGAACTTCATTTGCGCCCTGGCCGGTTTGGCTCAGCGGTTAGAGCATCGGCCTGCGGTACAGAGAGACCCAGGTTCGGTTCCCGCTAAGGGCGCATACCTCGATTGCAGTTTGTCCCCGGCCCTGGTTGGTCGTGCGGGTGGCAGCCACTCGATGTGTCCCTTTCACATCGATGTTTCCCTCTCTCTCTCTTCCTCTCTCTCCCTCCCGCTCTATCTGAACAAAAAATAGAAAAATGTCCTCGGGTGAGGATGAAAAAAAAAAAAAGAACTTCATTTGCTCTGTTCTTTCTCCACTTCTAATCCCAGGTCACCTCACAAGCTCTGTGACCCTATGACAGTCACATGACCTCTGATCTACAGTTTTCTATCTCATAGGGTTGGCTTGTGTGAGACCCACGAGATCACAGATATAGAGGACTTGGGAATCTGAAAAGTGTTTTAACTATATAATGTTTGCTGACATTGCTCTTTTTAATTCTACTTCCAGTCTCCTTCTCAGTGACTTGGGTGTGTCCTTCTACAGTATACTCCTGGGCCTCTGTTTAATGAGGATTCCCTTCACCTAAAACAGAATCCCAGTATTGAAAGAAACCTTAAAGGTCACCTAAACCAATGCCCTTCCCAACCTCTAGCACAGCAGTTCTCAATCTGTGGGTCACGATCCCTTTGGGGGTGGAATGACCCTTTCACAGGGGTTGCCTAAGACACAACAGTAGCAAAATTACAGTTATGAAGTAGCAACGAAAATAATTTTATGAGGAATTGTATTAAAGGGTCGCAGCATTAGGAAGGTTGAGAACCACTGCTCTAGCAGTTCTTGCTGGGGACATCTGGTTTCTGCTTGGAAGCCCCCAGCCACAAGACACTCCTTTCCATTCCTCCCATTCTGTAGTTAGACAGTCCTGGCCATGAGAAAGGGCCTCTTCCTGCCTTCCTGTAGCTCCACCCACTTGCCTACATCCCAATCTTCAGAAATTGGAACAAACCCACTTCTTTTATGCTCTTGAGGACACTGAGATTTACAGTCCTGTAGCCCTTTTAAAACTAAGCAAAAGAGAAGCCTGCCCCTGGCTCCTCCTTACCCCATGGCACCCAAATCACACTAGTGACCACAGCCCTTCTTTGGACCTCTCTACTGCCACAGATCTGTCCTCTTCCCCCAGTGTGACCCAGCATGGGGAACCCTGGACACTGTCTCCATTATCAATTCAACCAAAACTTCTCTGCACTATGCTCCATTCCTGGGAGAATGAAAACTGTTCTCATAGGCCCAAATTGCTTAATGCTGACTTTTATTTTGCAGATAGAGAAAATGAGGATCAATAAGAGGAAGTGACTTGCTAAACTCCTTCAGAGTTAGGGGTAAGAAACAGGCCACAAGGCCAGGGACAGGGAATGAATCCATATCAGAGACTGAAATGGTGCTGCTGCCCAGATCAATCCCACCTCTGATGCCTCCTGCCTTTGGGAAACTAGGACAAGTCACTCGGTCTTTCTAGCCCAGCTCAAGCACCTCCCCCAAGAAGCCTTCTGACAGTCAGCCCCACACTCACCCTACACCAGCCTATTGGTTACATCCCGTGCCCCATAGTGCAGTGTGTTAGCCCAGCACTGGCCACACTGTTATCACTCCCTGTCTACAAGGCACCATCCTCTCTCCACCTGTTAAATGTTCAAAGGCAGGCACCTGACTTATCTCCATGCACCCACCATACTTTACAGTATGTGATGGGTGGGTAAACAGTGATCTCCAAGAATCCTCTAAGCTGTAAAACACAAACCCCTCTTGGGTGAACATCTACTGTTTTTGCTTGCCCAGGATCTATTCCTCCTTCTTCTGAGAACAGTTTTCTTTTGTGGACCATCTTTCTCTCATATTCAGTCCATGTGGGTTATGGAGAGCTGACCATAGCCTCCAGGAGAGGGTACTGACCCAAGCCAGGCCAATCAGAGAATCCCATGCTCCAGCTACAGTGATTGGCACATCACCCAAGGCAGGCTAATAAGACTCAATTCTAGGGACTAATGGGAAGCAGAGAAACCTTTCTGCTGGAAGGATAAAAGCCAGGGGCAGTTGTTGGTCATCCCATGACAATAAAGCCAAGAGCTGGAGGCAGGTCTGATGACATTGTCTGAGCCTTCGGGATCCAGCTGTGTCTGAAACCAGTATTGACCCCTGGACTTCTTAGTTATGAGCCAATCTGAGTTTCATTTCTGTCACTGTAACTTTAAAAGTCCCAATCAATCCACCCTCCAGGCCTTGAGAGGCAGCCAGCCACTCCTTCCTCTTCTTGTCCTGGGAGAAGCGGACTCCACTCCCAGGGACTCACTCAGCAAGGGCCTTACCTGCACCAAGAGGTTCTGCAGTCCAATGACCAGGGACAGCACTTGTGATGTTCCCATTGGAGCTAGGACAGAGTCCTCAGGGGCTTGCAGAGGCAGGGCTCCTGAGGGCACCAGAGTTACCAGGGCAGAGGAAAAGCTTTGTTGCAGGGCTGTCCGTAGGAAGCGCAAGATAGCAGCTGAAAGCAAGAAACTCCTTACACCCAGTCCCTGCCTTCTTCCCCACCTCCACCCAGCTCTGTCAGAAGGGGAAAACAATGAAGATAATAAAGGAGTGACCATAGGCTGGTCTGGGAAGGGTGGTCCATCTCAGAATCCAGGAGAAAACTTTTCTTTTACTGCTAGAGAACCCTGGGCCCACACCTGAGAGCAGAGCAGCATTTTTCTTTGGAAAGCTGAGGGACTTCAATACTTGGTCCAGTTCCACGGACATTGTCTGGTGAACCTGGCAGGGCAGGGGGTAAAGGGATAACCCTTATATTCTGGGAGTGTAGGCAGAAAATATCCTATCCCAATATAGGTTCTACCCACCCACACATACTAGACTCATCAAGAAGGACAGGGGAACCCTGGCTAGTTTGGCTCAGCAGTTAGACCATCAGCCCAAGAACCAAGAGGCCAAGGGTTCACTTCCTGGTAAAGGGCACGTACCTGGGTTACAGGTTTGATCACCAGCCTTGGTCAGGGTCATGCAGGAGGCAACCAATTGATGTGTCTTTCACATCAATGTTTCTTTCTCTTTCTCTCTCTCTTTCTCTCTCTCCCTTCCTCCCTCCCTCTTACTCCCTCCCTCCCTTCCACTCTGTCTAAAAATCAATGGAAAAAAAATATCCTCAGGCGAGAATTAACAACAAAAGGACAGTTGTGAACCTCACCAGTCCTGGATTCAGGAACATAAGGAGGGAAATCAAACCTTTACCTGAAGAATCTCACTTCTCCCAAATCTCCTCCATTCTCAAGGACCTCCTCCACCAGGGAACCTTCCCTGGCCTCATCTGTGGTTCAGTCTCTGCCTCAGTCCACCATCCAACTAACTTAGATCTGGAGTCATACAGACCAGAATCAAAATCCTGGCTCTGTCACTAGCCAGCTGTGTGGCTGTGGGCAAGCCACTGTACCTACTTGCCTGCTTTACTTCCTTCATCTATGAAATGGGACAATGCCACCTATTTCACTCCCTCCAGGGCTATCATGAAATACAGCACTGGTGAGGGGCAGCACTGGTGAATATGCTCCTTAAGGTCAAAGGATGACCAAACTGAGGGGTTCGTAGGGGTGGCAGATTCAAAGCCATGAGCCTGCTCTGTATTCCTCATCCAGAACACAAGCTGCCTGAAGGCAGGAACTACTTCTCCTCTGCTTGGATCTATCACACTCTGGCACAAAGCAGTTCCTCAAAAATGCGTGTTGGCTGATCCTAGTGATCAGCAGGTCCTAGGCAGAAGACCGAATTGTATAAAGGTATGGAGAGTCCACACTAATGTAAGATGTTAATAGAGGAAATTGTATGAGGATTATATAGGCACTCTCTGTGCTGTCGGCTCAATTTTTCTGTAAATCTAAAACTGTTCTAAAAATAAAAGCTATTAAAAATCAATCAAGAACAAATAAACAAACAAAGGTATGGAGATATAAAAGAGCACAGCTGACTGGGAGAACTTAAAAAACACATGATAAGAAAACAGGGCAGGAGATGAAATGGCAGAAAATAAGGCTGCGGAGGGGCTGGTTAAGAAGGGTGTCAGCAGCCATGTGCAGAACAAAAATCCAAAGGAGTATAGGCAGAGGGGCAGTGTGGACAGACTGTGGCCATGGGGACAGATGTGGAGGAGAGGAGAGGATAGGGGCCAGGAGATTATCAATAGGCCACATTAGTGATGAGGATAAACAATCAGGCCTAAGCTCTAGGGTAGTGGGGAGGACCTTGGAGTAAAGGTAGTTAGGTCATTGGCTAGGTGTGAGTTGAGGGCCAGGGCAGAGCCAAGGACAGGTACAGTCTTCCACCCAGGCAGGTGACTGCAAGGCTATGGGGAAGTCCAACAGCTTCACACAAGAAAGCAGGAAAGGTTCCTGCACACCTGCAGATCTGCTATAGCATAGATCCGCCACAGCTTGCTGCCACCCTAGAGGCCACAATTTAAAAGTGACTTCATTTCTACACCAATGAGTGTGTGCCTGGCACTATATTGGCACAGGGCTGGGCATAGTGTGAGGATACCTTGAAAACTAGGAGGTGGTTTCTGACCACAAGGAGCAGCCAATCTTAGGGAGGAGACACCTGAATGTAAAGCAGCCCACAAAGGAGCTCATGCAAGGCACTGTGATGACAAGTCCTACAGGGGGAAGGGCTGAGAGAAAAGGAGGGACTTTGTGGACATATCCACTGTTCCCTGTACCCTGCGTTATCTTCTTGAACAATCACAATGACAGCTTGCCACCCAACACTTCAAGGTCAGAGGTAGGCTTCAGCCTGAGAGTCCATTCCCTACCTTCTAACTAAAGAATACCTCACCACTCTCCAAATATATACACCATGTCCTAAATGTATGCAGTGCATGCCTTTGCTCATATTGTTCTCTTTACCCAGAATGCCTTTCCCCACTATCTTTACCTACAAATACAAGTTCCCCAAGTGTGGGGTACATGCTGTATTCATTGATTACTCCTGTGTCTAGAATACAGGCTGGCCCATAGGTGGATCCATGTGTGCTAAATGGATTAACATTAACTAACCTGACAACTCCCTGAATGTACTAAAGCTCTGAAAGTTAAATACCTTGCCAAGGTTACTCAAGTTAACTATCTTGCCAAGGCTACACAGCTAATAAGCCATAGAGCTGGGACCAGAACTCAGAATCTTTATCCCACCCTATGCCCCAAAGCCACAGAGGTTAGAGACTAACCTGGAGGCTGCCATCGTGCTGCTGGGCAGAAAAGGAGGCAGTGAGCAGCCAGGCAGAGCAGAGTAGTGTAGTCCTGGGAGAGCCCTCCTCGGCCCAGGTGAGCGCCAGCATCTTCTCGAGAAGTTCTATCAGGGCTGTGCTGCTCAGGAGCACTGCAGCAGCTGTAGAGGGTCCAGCAGAGCAGGGGCCACATTAGTTATACAGGAGCACAGCTCAGTGCCAACATGGTGGTTAGTTAGCACCCAAAGAGGGCTTCACACATACTGTGTATGAACCCAAGGATCAGCTTGAGGTTCTGAGGGTCCCTGCTTCATTCCAGAGCCACAGGTAATCAGAACCAGAAAGGACCTTATGACCATCTGGTCCAGCCACATCCCACCTTATTATTTTAAGATGGAAAAACAGAGGACAGCAAGGGCCACAGACACTGCCCAGCACCCCTCCTCTTCACTATCACAGCCTGGGACCCAGCACCTCTTTTCTGACTGCCCAGTGTGGTCTGATGAAGGCTCCAATACAGGAAGTTGAAGGAGGGCTGTAGGATGTCCATGTCAGTGGGGCTGCACTTCCCACACAGCTTGCTCACTGCAAAAGATGAGAGTTCCCAGGCACCCATCGGGCAGCATTCTGGTTTTAATGCACACCAACGCTCACACTCTTCACAGATAATGGCCCTCAACTGAGTAACTTCAGATTTCAGTGTTGGGGATCAAACACAAACTAAGTATCCTCAGTACTACAGCCAATAAAAAGAAAAACAGTTACAAATCTGAAGGTATCTTCACACCTTCCATCTAAACAAACATCAGGCAAGCAGCCCACATCTGTACATTAGAGCAGACTGCACAAGTTTAGGTGATCAAGAGGCATACTGTACAGTGCTCATGCGAGCACAGATTCCAGGTTGGAGAATGTGCAGAGGTCATCCAGGCCAACGTGCTACCCTTAACAAGAAGAAGATCCAGCCTCTGAATTCTCCCAGCAATGGGGCACTAACCACCTTCCCAGAGGAGCTCTGTAACCATCCATGTGCAATTCCCTGAACTTTCATATTCTCTCTCACATCATCCCCATCTGGCTAACTCCTTAATTCCTATTCAGCAATCAAGATTCAGCTCAAAGCCCTAACCAGTTTGGCTCAGGGGTTAGAGCATTAGCCCAGGGACCAAAGAGTCTCGGGTTCAATTCCAGTCAAGGGCACATACCTCAGTTGTAGTTTGGTCCCCGGCCCTGGTCGGGGTAGTGCAGGAGGCAACCAATTGATGTGTCTCTCTCACATTGATGTTTCTCTCTCTCTCTCTCTCTCTCACACACACTCTATCTGAAGATAAAATGGAAAAATATCCTTGGGTGAGGATTTAAAAAAAAACAAATTCAGCTCAAAGTTCACCTCCCCCATGAAGCCTGCCTTAACCTCTCCAGGCAAGATGAGATGCCTCTTGGTGCTCCCTCAGCCTCCTCAGGGCATTATCATGCTGTAAAGTAGACTCCTAAAGAACACATCCCTTTCCTCCTGGGAATTGCTACTCCTTGCTCTCTTGCCCCCATGACTCCAATATAAAACCTACCTAAGTTTCCATTTACTTTTTTGTCAATCACATCACACTTGACTTCTAATTGGCTTGTAGTCAACCAGATAATCAAGCACTACCCCCTCCAAAAAACACATACCCTCACCCCTGAAATATAGTCCTCTACCACCAAAACTCTCAAATAAAAGTACTCAGGGGACCCAGCCGGTGTGGCTCAGTGGTTGAGTGTTAACCCACGCACCAAGAGGTCACCGGTTCGATTCCCAGTCAGGCCAAATCCCCAGTAGGGAGCATGAAGGAGGCGACCAATCAATGTTCTCGCTCATCAATGTTTCTATCTCTCTCTCCTTCTCTCTTTCTCTCTCTCTCAAATTAATAAAGAAAAAAAAATTTTAAAAAGAAAAGAAAATGAGTAGTTGTTAAAAAAAAAAGTACTCAGGGGTTATATGTAAATGTATATTATATTTAACATGTGTGTTTCAGCCCATTATTCCACCATGTCAGCAACCCTATGATGGCTAATTCAGTCACACACAGACCTCACTCCCAGTTGAGTGTTACTCTTGACCTGACAGACTGACAATGACCAGCACAAAGCTGGGCCTGGAGGGTTTTTTTGTTTTTGTTTTTGTTTTAGAGAGAAAGAAACATCAATCCATTGCCTCCTGCACACACACCAACCAGGGATCAAACCCGCAACCCGGGTATGTGCCCTGACTGGGAATTACCTTCTGGTGTACTGGACAATGCTCCAACCAACTGAGCCACCTGGCTGGAGCTGGAGGTCCTTTTTGAGGAGGTCTGAGCTCCAAGCAGGAAAAGGACCATCCTCACTTTTGGCCAGAAAAATGTGACAGTCCACAGATACTGAAGACATGCCATTTTTCCTATTAATTTCAACCTTTCCTCAACAAATCTTCCTGAGGGTACTGCCTATGTAGCAACAACTGCATTAATGAGCAGTGAAAGGTCCTAATAAGGTTTGGAGTAGGGGGTAGAAAAGAGGCCTAGAACTGTGGACTGGATTATCAGATACTAAGTCAGCTGTGGGTGAGATGAAGTAAAACTGTGACGAAAAAAATAAATCTACATGGACAGTATCCATTGTAGGCCTACTGTGTGCCAAGCACTGTGTGGAATTCTATACTTACAGTTATTCCTTGTCTTAACCCTAAATCAGGCAGTGCTATTTTTTAACCTATGAGGAACATAAGGCTCACAGAGGCTAGGTGATTGTCCAAAGCTATATAGCTAGTGATTAACCTAAAAACAAACCCAGGACTTCCCAAACTCCACTGCTTGTGCTTATCACATAATTTTATATATACATCTATTTTGGGGAGTGTCTCCCAAACACTCATAGGGAATAAGCAGAGAAAGATCTGAAAGGTCACTTAGCAAGAAGCCCACAGGAACAGATTCATTAGCTTCTTCCAAAGGGATGAAAGGAGGGAAGAAAGGAGCACCCCCAGCACGTCCAGCCCTGGGCTCTCAAGCACTGTCCCAAGCAGCCAGCACCTTGGTGAAGCAGCTTCATGGCCATGCTGTCCAATTCTTGCTCTGACTCGTTCCTTAGCTGCACTACAGAGAGGAGGCTCAGCAGCAATGGCAGGTTCCCTGACACTGTGAAGAAGAAGGAGGAATAGTCAGGGGCCTGACACTCAAATCACCTCAAGGTCAGACAGATACCCATCTGGCTGTAAAATGTTTGTTGGGATTTACCCATATTTCCTACATTCTTCCTTCTTTACTGGGCACAGTGGCAACTGACATACTGAGTGCCAACTCTGGGTTGGGTACCAGGAATTCAGTATTTCACTTAATCCCCTTAAACCATGTGAAACAGGGATTGTCATTCCTATTTTGCAGTAAAGAAAACTGAGCGAAATAAGCCAATCAGAGAAAGACAAGTATCACCTGGTCTCACTTATTTGAGGAATATAATGAACAAAATAAGCTGATGAACAAAATAGACCCAGAGACATGAAAGTAGGGAACAGAACAGACTGACAAATCTCAGAGGGAAGGAGGGTGGGGAGGGGGGTGGGAAGAGATAACCCAAAGAACTTATGCATAACCAATGGATACAGACAACAGTGTGGTGAAGGGGGTAGGCAGAGCAGGGAGGAGGGTGTCAATGGGGGAAAAGAGGAAGAAATTTCTGTAATACTTTCAACAATAAGATATAAAGATAATTTAAAAAATAAAATAAAACTGAGGCCTAGAGAGACTGAGTGACTTCTTCAAGGTCCTGCAGCTAATAAGTGACAGGACTAGGACTTGAACCCAAATCTGAATTCAATGCCCACAGTCTTTCCACTATGTGTGTCCACAAAATCTCATGGCTCTTAAACACTGTTGTCAGTTAGATATGGTTTATCCTTCCTGCAAAGGAAAGGCTTGGCTCCTCCAGACACCCTTAAATCTATTTCCACCGCCCAATTCCTGCCTCAAGTCAGGACTAGAGCAAATGCCACAGCTCTCTTCTAATTTCTCAGCACTAAATTGCTTGGAAATTGAATTTAAAAGTTCAACTTTCTAAAAATAAGAAAAGGCAAACCAATCCCAACCTTTTCAGTGTCTTCATACTGTACCAAACACAAACTTCCTTTACTCCAGGGAGTCCCATTCCAGATTTGGAAACTATCCCTTTGGATCTCACTGGGAGCTTCAAATACACCACTGATCAACCCCCTCATAGACTCCTGCTGGCTGCTGCTGCCTCCCTGGCCTCGCCCACATTCCAGCTTTCTTCTTCCCACCTGGAGGCTGCCATTCTTGTGACAAACAGCTCTGAGAACATGCCATGCAGGGTGGGAACATGCACACATACATCAAACACACCCACCCATGCTAAACACACAGTCATTAAACATAAAAACACTCACACACACACCCCAAACCAAATATGTTGAGCACCCACTCTCCAATAAGAGGAAGGAAGTAAAGTTCAGTTTGATGCCACACTGGCCTGACATATTTTTTGCAGAGAAAACTTTGATTCTCTCTCCTGGAGCAGATCTCATCAGGGCAGATGCCCACGTCTTACTGACCTTTAGGTCAAAATGTGCCCCCAGAAGCTACAGACTGACCTTCTGATGGGGAGGTCCCATGTTCCACCAGCAGATGCTGTAGGATCAGCAGGAAGTGACCTCGGATGAGACCACCCACTTGGACATCCTCATGTCTTCTCAAAAAGGTCCTCAGGACGATCAGTACCTTGTGGGCTATGTCCCCAGGGCTGGAATAGATGAGATCCTGAGCAGGAAAGAAGAAAGTCAGAGCTCAAAGGGCATCATGGTTAGAGACAGGTAGACAGTAGAGAAAAGAGGGGCTTGGAAAGGGCCCAGGATGATGATACCACAGAACCTGGGGAAAGAAGCTCTCACTTACGTAGCACCGATTTTGTACCACCCTGACAGCCTATAGGTCCATTCTAAGAAGGAGGAAATGAGGTTTAAAGAGATTACATGATGTAGAGGAAAAAGGGGCCACATACTAAACCTGACAAGCTCAGGAGTCCAGCATGGCAGACCCTATAAACTCAGAGATAAAAAATAACCACACAGGATGGTTTGAACATAAAAATTCCTAACTAAGCCCTGGCCAGTTTGGCTTAGCAGTTAGAGCATTGATTCTGGGTTGCAGGTTCGATCCCTGGCCCAGTTGGGGTTGTAAGAGAGGCAATCAATCAATGTCTCTCTCACATCGATGTTTCTTTCTCTCTCCCACCCTCCTTTCCACTCTATCTAAAAATCAATGGAAAAATATCCTCGGATGAGGATAAAAAAAAGTCCCTAACTAAAAGTGAGTCATGGATTGCCTGGCCAGTGTGGTTTAGTGGATCGAGTGTCACCTCATGGACTAAAAGGTCCTGGTTTCATTCCTGATCAGGGCACATGCCTGGATTGGGGGCTCTATCCCCAGGATGGGGTGTGCAGGAGGCAACCGATGTCTCTCTCTCACATCAATGTTTCTATCTCTTTCCCTTCCTTTCTCTCTAAAATAATCAATAAAACATATTAAAAAAATAAATAAAAGTAAAAGTGAGTCATGCCAGGTAGTCACATCCTAGGCCTGTAGCATTCTTGACAAAGGTCAATCTTTACCTTAAAAGTGAGCCTATTGTCTTTTTATAGCTAAAACAGCATATCTTTGAAATGTCAGAGTAATCTCCTTTTCCAGATCCCTCAAGGCACACATACCATCGCTATGTGCTATACTTAACTGTTAACTATCCTATACCCAACAATGTAAGGGAAGTATGTCTCTCAGATTCACTTTTTATCCAATCCCAGAGATTCCTCACCCCTACTTCCCACACCCCTAACCCCATTTGTTTTCTCCCGCCTCCTTAATTTACCAATGGATTTCATGTAACCTTCCTTATGTCTCCTCCTCTGATTCTAATGTATAAGATAAACTGCAAGACTGCCATTCTCTGGAGCACTGTCTCTATTGAGATTTTGCTTCCCAGCAATTGTCATCAGTTTGGCTCAAATAAACTCATAAAAATTCTCTACAGGTTTGGACATTTCTTACATGGGCAATGATGTGCTAAAGGTCACATAAGCCAGTATGTGGCACAACTAAGATTTGAATGCACATCTAACTCCAAGCCCAAAGTTCTTTCTACTTTCGAGGATGCCTCTCTCATGCATATGAAGGTATCAGGGTCAAGAAAAGATTATTTCAGAACAGCAGATCTAATTGTGCCTTAAAGGAAAAAAATAGGGGGATGGAGATGCCACATGATGGGTTAGGACAGACTCGGGGTACAGGGAGAAGTGAGGACCAGGTCAGGCCTTTTCTCTGCCATGGCAATCTGGCTATTTCTGCTCCAAGCTATAAAGGCCTTGGTTCAGAAGGTGGGAAAAGACATTGCATTTTATTTGTTTTCACAGTTATTTTAATGAGTATATGTTAAAGGTAAAGCCAGTCAGAAGCTGTACCAGAGGCTATCCCACTGATGGCTCCTAGCACCTACCAGCTTGAACAAGCCAATTTATTTGGACAGGCTAACGTGCTGAGCCAGTTAGGGCTGTGCAATGAAGCCAAAGTCACACACAGACTCCCTTTCCAGAAAGTACAGCTCCTGACACACAGAGACATGGATATAGGGCACCTGACCAGACAACTCCAGATGTGCTGATCACTGGATGGCACGAGTGTCTGGCCTTGGCTCTTCACAAATCTCCATAGCTGCCAGAGAAACAACTATAATCTCAATAACAACCACTCAATTATGGCCTAGTAATGTCAGGTACTATGCTATGTTTAAATAGTAGCTATATGTTTGTTTATCTGTCTTCATAATAACTCTTCCAGGTAGGAGTCACCCCAAGTTTTCAAATGAGGAAACTGGGGCAAACTAAGTCGTTTCCCTATCAAGAAAGCAGTGACACCCTGACCTGTCTCTCACTTCCATGTTTCTGTCCCTCCCTCCTTCTCTACCTGAAACAAAAAACCAATGGAAAAATATCCTCCAGTGAAGATTAAAAAAAAATAAAGCAGTGGCATTTTAACCATGAGTTAATGAAGGGTAGGGATGAGGTCAGCTTCATCTTTGTCACCTTGTAGGACTGAGAAAACATCTCTGGAAGGACAGGGTCACAGAATGGGAGTGCTAGAGGGAATCTCAGTTCATTTCCATCAAAACTTTTACTTTACACTGAGTATGAGATTGATGCCCAGAATGGGTGTGATTTGCCCACGGTCAAACTAGTTTCCAGATCCTCCTCCTTCAACAGCAAGTGTCTGCCTAATTGCCAGATCTGGTCCCTTAGAAACCTAAGTTAGTACATTTTAAAGGCCCAAAAGAAAGGGGGCTACTCAGCCTTTGGTGGCTATGGTGAATGCTAGGAAAATGGTGCATCCCACCACATGGGTCAGTGGGAAGGTTCTGGGCGGAACACAACCCACTCTATAATCTCTCCTGCCCAGAGCTGTCCAGAATTCTCTGGGACTGGACCAACCAGGGTGCCATGGCCTAGTATGGAACAGAGCTTCTGACATCATTGTTTTTCACATCTAAACAACCTACATAAAAGACCATCCACTGATAAGAGTGGCAATTAACAGCTTTGTTTTCAGTTGTTAATTATTGCCCATATCAAAAACAGAAATTGGTACCGACACATATTTTTAGACTCTTTTCCCCTCCTGTGGCTAAAGGCTGGGGAGGAATGGTAGGAATTATATACATAACAGACAACAAAGTTGTTCCTCACTATTTTGGTTTTTTTAACCACTGATGTTACTAGGATCTGATTTAGTGTAAAACTCATTAATGTTAGGCTCCAATCATGGCCATGACCCTTTTTTTTTTTCCTTTTCTTTTTTGGTACATGCCCCTACCAGGAACCGAACCCGGGACCCTCTGGTCCGCAAGCCGATGCTCCAACTGCTGAGCCAAACTGGCCAGGGCAGGTCACCACCTCTATTAGCTATATGACCTTAGGCAATTTAATAAGCTTCTCTAAGATTAACATTTTCTGTGGTTCAGTCAGTCAATGATCAGTAAATGATTAACCTACTGTGTACAGCATACCAAGAGTGTTCCTATGTATTCTTTCATTTACCTCCCATTATCTCCATTTTATACATGAGAAAAGTGAAGCTTAGAGATGCCTTCATCTTCCAGGACCTGTATGTAGCATCCAGCCCTAAGTGCAGTTCCTTCCTGTTGAGCTCTACCTGGCAAAGCTCAAGGCTCCTCTCTGCCCTGAACCCCCATCCCAAGAAGGAGGAGTGAAGAGGATGATGTACATTCAAGGACAAGAACTGGGTCACCACAATAACAGTTGGGGTACCTGCTCCAGCTTGTGTGGGACAGGTACTCTCTTAATAATTTGGTCTCTTGCCTGGCTGGTGTGGCTCAGTGGTTGAGCACTGACCCATGAACCAAGAGGTTGCCAGCTCGATGCCCAGTCAGGGCACATGCCCAGGTTGTGGGCCCAATCCCCAGTGGGGGGCATGCAGGAGGTGGCCAATCGATGTTCTCTCTCATTGATGTTTCTATCTCTCCCTACTTCTCCCTTCCTCTCTCTCTAAAATCACTGAAGAAAAAAAAGAAAAAGCTGTGGTACATATACACAATGGAGTACTATGCAGCTGTAAGAAAGAAAGATCTCTTACCCTTTGAGATGACAGGGAGAGACGTGGACAGTATTATCCTCAGCGAAACAAGCCAATCAGAGACAGAAAAATATCACATGATCTCACTTATTTGTGGAATTTAATGAACAAAACAAGCTGATGAACAAAACAGACCCAGAGACATAGAAGTAGGTTACAGAATGACAAACCTCAGAAGAGGGGAATGGCAGGGAGGGAAGAGATAAACCACAGAACTTATATGCATGTATGTGTAACCATGGACATAGAGAACAATGCTGGGGGTGGAAGGCAGAATTGGGAGGAAGGTGTCAATGGGGGGGAAAGAGAAACATCTGTAACAAAATTAAAAATAACAAAATAAAATAAATACAAAAATGGAAAAAAAAAAAAGAATAATTTACAGGGAATCAATAGTAGAGTAGGTGAAACTTAGAAGCAAATCATCGATTTGGAATATAAGAAAGCAAAAACATCCGATCAGAACAGCAAAAAGTAAAAAGAATCCAAAAAAATGAGGATAGTGTAAGGAGCCTGTGGGACAACTTCAAGCATACCAACATTCACATCATGGGGGTGCCAGAAGGAGAAAAAAGAGAGCAAGAAATTGAAAACCTATTTGAAAAAATAATGACAGAAAACTTCCCTAACTTGCCAAAGGAAACAGACATACAAGTCCTGGAAGCACAGAGAGTCCCAAACAAGATGAACTCAAAGAGGCCCAAAAAAATGAGGATAGTGTAAGGAGCCTGTGGGACAACTTCAAGCATACCAACATTCACATCATGGGGGTGCCAGAAGGAGAAAAAAGAGAGCAAGAAATTGAAAACCTATTTGAAAAAATAATGACAGAAAACTTCCCTAACTTGCCAAAGGAAACAGACATACAAGTCCTGGAAGCACAGAGAGTCCCAAACAAGATGAACTCAAAGAGGCCCAAAAAAATGAGGATAGTGTAAGGAGCCTGTGGGACAACTTCAAGCATACCAACATTCACATCATGGGGGTGCCAGAAGGAGAAAAAAGAGAGCAAGAAATTGAAAACCTATTTGAAAAAATAATGACAGAAAACTTCCCTAACTTGCCAAAGGAAACAGACATACAAGTCCTGGAAGCACAGAGAGTCCCAAACAAGATGAACTCAAAGAGGCCCATGCTAAGACACAAGATCATCAAAACGCAAAAGGTTATAGATAAAGAGAGAATCTTAAAAGCAGCAAGAGAAAAGCAGTTAGTTACCTACAAGGGAGTTCCCATAAGACTTTCGGCTGATTTCTCAAAAGAAATTTTGCAGGCCAGAGGGAGTAGCAAGAAATACTCAAAGTGATGTAAAGCAAGAACCTACAATCAAGATTATTCTATTCTGCAAAGCTATCATTTAGAATTGATGGACATATAAAGAGTTTCCCAGACAGGAAAAAGTTAAAGGAGTTCATTACCACCAAACCAGTGTTATATGAAATGTTGAAGGGTATTCTTGAAGAAAAAGAAGATAAAAAAATATGAACAGCCCTGGCCGGTTTGGCTCAGCAGCTGGAGCATCAGCCTGCGGACCAGAGAGTCCTGGGTTTGGTTCCCGCTAGGGGCACGTACCAAAACATATATATATATAGGAACAATAAAATAGCAATAAATACACACCAGCAATTGAATCTACAAACAAAATGAACAAGTAGAACAGAAACAGATTCATAGATACAGAGAATTTTTTGTTGGTTGCTCGATGGGAGGGGGTTGGGGGAATGGGTAAAAAAGGCAAAGGGATTAAGAAGTACAAATTGGCCCTGGCCGGTTTGGCTCAGCAGTTAGAGCGTTGGCCCGTGGACCAAAGAGTCCCAGGTTTGGTTCCTGCTAAGGGTACGTACCATGGTTGCAGTTTGTCCCCGGCCCTGGTTGGGATTGTGTGGGTGGTGACCACTCGATGTGTCTCTCTTACATCAATGTTTCTCTCTTCCTCCCTCTCTCCCTCCTGCTCTATCTGAAGATAAATGCAAAAAAATGTCCTCAGGTGAGGATAAAACAAAAAAAGAAGTACTAATTGGTTGTTAGATGGACAAACCTCAAAAGGAAGGGGGAAGAGAGGGAGGAAGAGATAAACTAAAGAACTTATATGTATATATGCATAACCAATGTACAAAGATAATAGTGTAGGGAAGGCAGGCAGTGCAGGACTGGGGAGGAGGTCAACAGGGGGAAAAGGAGGGACATCTGTAATTCATTCAACAATAAAGATAAGTTTAAATAAATAAATAAAATAAGTCTTTTTTTTTTATTTTACAGAGAGAGGAAGGGAGAGGGAGAGAAAGACAGATACATAGATGAGAAGCATCCTCACATCTCCCACTGGGGATCAAGCCCACAACCTGGGCATGTGCCCTGACCAGGAATCAAACTGGCGACCTCTTGGTCCATGGGACAATGCTCAACCATCTGTCACACCAGCTGGACTAATGCTTTATTTTTAACCCATTCCTTCTCCATTTTCCTTCCTCCACGAAGCTAAAGCATGAATGTGGTCCTTATCAAGCCAACACATGTGTGACTGCACAAGATGACAGTTCTAAGAGATGGGAGATGAAGACTGAGTGGGGAGTGTGTGCATGTGTGAATGTGGGCAGAGACAGGTACCTAAGAATGTGGGATAGATAACATGCAAGTGTTATTTTTACCACATCACTCCAGTAAGAACATCAAAGGAATCTCATTGTCTCTGATGGGCTGTGTCATTCTTTCTGGACTAAGGAAGGGCCAAGCATGTGTACTAACATTGAAGGCAGTGGTGTGCTGCAATCAGTTTAGGACCTGCCAGTCACTAGTAATTGCTCATTAAATACAAAGTATCAAATATAAAAATAATTTTTAAATATATAAGTTACAACAGTTACCTCTATAATTATATCATTCTCTTTCATTGGTTTTCAATGTGCTTTCTTGAATGAAAGAAAAAAAGGCAAAGTTAAAGTCAATGTGTCCGCAATCAGACATCTCCATCTACATGTCCCAGGAATGTCCTTTGACATTAAACCCTTCTTAGCGGAATCTGCTTTATTTATTTATTTTCTAATACTCACCCAAGGACATTTTTCCATTTTTGTTCAGATAGAGTGGGAGGGAGAGAGAGAGAGGGAGAGAGAGAGAGAGAGAGAAACATTGATGTGAAAGGGACACATCGAGTGGTGGCCTCTCGCACGACCCCAACCACGGCCAGGGGACAGATCGCAACTGAGGTATGTGCCCTTGACCGGAATTGAACCCGCTACTCATTGGTCTGTAGGCTGAGCCAAACCAGCCAGGGCACAAAATCTGTTTTAAAGACAGGGAGGTGAGAGGGAATGGTGGCTGATATCAGCATCTCATAATTCTATCCCCTGGAAAAGACAAGGTCACATATCTCTCAGTGAACAGACTTCCATCAGACTTAGGACAAGGTACAGACTTACAGAAACTAGGCACCTGCCAGCCAGAAGGACTTCCTACTCAAATGGGAACAGCATTAAGTCCAGAGGTGAGCAGAAGCAGCTGTTGTTGCCTCCTGACCTCAGTAAACCAGCTCCTGAGAGAGAGAGCCCATTATTTCTAAATGCAGAAATGAGCAAGTGGTCACCTACCAGCAAAATAAGCAGGATGCTGGGGCTGCTTCTGAGTATGTGGAACAAGTCTCCTAAGCTGGCAGGAAGGGTGGGATGTCCAGCAGAGGGGACATCATCCAGCTCCTCATAGCTGCTGTCTTCCCAGGAAAACCAAAGTTCCAGGACACGATGCCCAAACCTACTCATCAGCTCTGGATACAAGAGGAAGAACCTGAGCAGGAGGGGGTGATGGGTGTAGATGAGGTGCAGGTCGGAGATGCCCTCTAGAAAGTTTCTGATGACACCAACCATAGCCTGGAGGCAAATAAAGAAAGAGGTTAAATATACCTTGCAGAAGACCCAAGAGACCCCACCAAACATAACCAAGACATGACTGGAAAAAATGTACTGGCATCTCAGTACTCAAGGACACCTGCACTGGCTCACCCTAGAGCCCTCCTGGAAGAAGAAAACCCCACTGTGCTTACCTTAGGACAGTAGTTCTCAACTGGGGGTGATTTTGTTCCCAGGGTTAGACCGTTTTTTTAATGTTTTTATTGGTTTTTAGAGGGAGAGGAAAGAAGGAGACAGGGATAGAAACAATGATCAGCTGCCTCCTGCATGCCACACACTAGGGATCGAGCCCACAACCCTGGGCATGTGCCCTGACCAGGAATCAAACCAGTGACATTTTGGTGCATGGGTCCACTCTCAACCACTGAGCCACACCAGCTGGGCTGGTTAGACATTTTGGATGGTCTTGATTAAGGGAGTGCTACTGACATCTAGCGGTAGAGAGCAGGGATACCACTAAATACCCTATAAAACAGGACATGCCCGGCTGGTATGGCTTGATTGTCATCCAGAATTGAACCCTTGACTCATTGATCCAGAGGCCAATGCTCTAACCGCTGAACCAAACTGGCCAGGGCTATGGGTTTAGTTTTGGACTCTCAATTCTATTCCATTGATTTAGATGTCTATTCTTATTCCAAAACCACACTGTCTTGATTACTGTAGCATTGAAATAAAAAAGTGCAAGACCTGCCCTGGCCAGGTGGTTCAGTTGGTTGGAGCATTGTCCTGATATGCCAAGGTTGAGGGTTCAATCCCCAATCAGGGCACATACAAGAATCAACTGGTAAATGCATAAACAAGTGGAATAACAAATTGACACTTCTCTCTCTCCCTCTCTCCCTTCCTCCCTCTCTTTCAAATATCAATCACTAAAAATTTTCCATTTTAAGTGTGAGTCTTCTAACTTTGATCTTCTTTCTCAAAATTATTTTGGGTATTTTGGATCTCTTGCATTTCTATATAAATTTTAGGATCAACTTGTCCATTTCTGAAAGAAAAAAAAAGGCAACTAAAATTTTGATCAGGATTGTGTTGACTCTATGGATCAATTTGCAGAGTACTGCCATCTGAACACTACTGTCTTTTCTTTTTTTTTAAATCCTCACCTGAAGATATTTTTTTTTCATTTATCTTCAGATAGCATGGGAAGGAGAGAGAAAGAAACATCGATGTAAGAGAGACATCAATTGGCTGCCTCCCACAAGACCCGGACCAGGGCCAGGGACCAAACGGCAACCGAGGTACATGCCCTTGACTGGAATCGAACCTACAACTCTTTGGTCTGCAGGCTGACATTCTAACCACTAAGCCAAACTGGCCAGGGCTTTTGTCTTTTCCAGTTTTATTGTGATATAATTGACACAGAACATGGTATAAATTTATGATGTACAATATAAGGATGTGATAAGTGTATATGTTGTGAAATGATTAACACAAAAAGTTTAGTTAATATCGACTACCTCACATAGTTACAAGTTTTTTCCTTGTGATGACAACTTTAAAGATCTAATCTCTTAGCAACTTTCTTTTTTAAATGAATTTATTTATTTATTTAATCCTCACTCGAGGATTTTTTCCATTTATTTATTTATTTATTTTTCAGGTAGAGTGGAAGGGAGAGAGGGAGGGGGAGAGAAAAAGAGAAACATTATATGAGAGAGGCACATTGATTTGTTGCCTCTCTCAACCCAACCAGGGGCCAGGATCAAATCTGCAACCCAGGTACATGCCCTTGACCAGGAATTGAACCCAAGACCCTCAATCCTCTGGCAAACACTCTAACCACTCTGCCAAACTGGCCAGGGCAGCAGCTTTCAAATATACAAAATAGTATTATTGTTAGCTATAGTCATTGTGTTGTATATTACATCCCCAGAACTTATCTTATAGCTGGCTATTAAGTCTTCTGATTCACGAACACAAAAGAATGTCTATTTATTTAGGTCTTCTTTAATTTATTTCAATGATGTTTTGTAATTTTCAATGTACAAGTCCTTGTACTTTTAGTTAAATATTTTTTCTACGTATATTATTTATTGATACTGCTATAAATATAGTTATTTTCTTAACTTCATTTTCAAGCATGTTATTAAAGGTTATTAAAAGTTTGCCTTTTTGGCTTCTCTCCACTGTCTTCCATGTCTTAGCAAAGGCGCATTAAACTAGGATCCCTTCCTTAAATATTTAGACTGGGCCACTTCTTTTTTTTTTTTTTTTTTAATCCTCACCCGAGGACATTTTTCCATTTTTTGTACAGATAGAGTGGGAGGGAGAGAGAGGAAGAGACAGAGAGAGAAACATCGACGTGAAGGGACACATCGAGTGGCTGCCACCGCACGACCAACCAGGGCCGGGGACAAACTGCAACCGAAGTACGTGCCCTTAGCAGGAACCGAACCAGGGTATCTCCGGACCGCAGGCTGACGCTCTAACCGCTGAGCCAAACCGGCCAGGGCTAGACTGGGCCACTTCTTAAATCTCTATTCTCAGCCTGAAAATTCTCCCTTCACCTTAACCTCCTCCAGGAAGTCTCTCCTGATGCAACAATCTCCCATGTGTCTTCGTACCTCTTGGCCAGTCCCTTCAGGTTCCAGGAGAGCACTCACTGCTGCTTCTGCCTGCTGTATAGGAAATATTTTTGTCTTTCCTGGAAAACCAGTGGTCCCGGAGGGGAGAGAATGTGTCTGATGCACCTCAACCCTGACATGGCCTCACATGGCACCTGCCATATGTCAAGTGGTTAATCTACATTATCTGAGTTGCTAAAATGTTGAGAGACAAATAAAAAATGTGCTTATTTATTTGAGTAGTGTTCAAGGGCTTAGGAAATGCTGATAAAACTGGAGAGAAGTTACTAAAAAGAAAGAGCTTCCAGGAATAAGTAGGGCTTGAAACTCTGAAAAGTCCATTCCCCAGAAACACCCACACTACACCTACTGGGGGTCCTCACACACACACCCAGAAGTATCTCGTCATACTAGAAAGCCCAAACTCTGTTAAAGACTACTAGGGTTGCGCTGGCCGGTTTGGCTCAGCGGTTAGAGCATCGGCCTGCGGTCCAGAGAGACCCGGGTTCGGTTCCCGCTAAGGGCACGTACCTCGGTTGCAGTTTGTCCCCGGCCCTGGTTGGTCGTGTGGGTGGCAGCCACTCGGTGTGTCCCTTTCACGTCTATGTCTCTCTCTCTCTCCCTCCCACTCTATCTGAATAAAATACCGAAAAATGTCCTCGGGTGAGGATAAAAAAAAAAAAAAAAAAAAGACTACTAGGGTTGTGTCAAAAGGGCTTAGGAACTACCATGAACAGACGCTGACTGGCCAAAGATAGAACAAATTGAGCCTCAAAAGGCTAGTAACTATAGAGAATTGAAACACATCAAATATTTTTAAATCCACGAGTTCATAACAATACTAAAAAAATATCCTTGGTCACCTTTGGAGAATGCTAGGCAACCAATTCATTTTTTTTTTTTTTTTTCCTCACCCGAGGACATTTTTCCATTTTTTGTTCAGATAGAGCGGGAGGGAGAGAGAAGAAGAGAGAGAAAGAGAAACATCGATGTGAAGAGACACATCGATGTTTCTCTCTCTCTCTCCCTCCCACTCTATCTGAAAAAAAAATGGAAAAATGCCCTCGGGTGAGGATAAAAAAACAAAACAAAACTGATAATTAGCCCTGGCTGGTTTGGCTCGTTGGTTAGAGTGTTGGCCTGTGGATCGAAAGGTTGTGGATTTGATTTCTGGGTTCCAGGTCTGACCCCCAATTCCATTCGGGGTTGTTTGGGAGACTACCAATCTGTGTGTCTCTGTCACATGGATGCTTCTCTCTCTCCCTCCCCACTCCATTCCACTCTATCTAAAAGAATCAGTGGAAAAATATCTCAGGTGAGGTTTAAGAGAAAGGATCAAATATTCAACCTATTCTTCCTATACAATCTATCATTCATAGTAACCAAATAGTTGATGAGGGAAGTTTCTTTTATACAAGTATTCCAGTTAATAAACAAAGAGAATGACAAATTAGTATATTATTATTTTGTAATCCCTAATGAATTAATGAATCAATGCAGTGATCACCAATGGCTGCTAATAACACAAAAAGAGAGACAATGGGAATTTGTATATCTATGTCTATCTCACTTAAAAATCCATTGCACTTCTACACTTTCCTTTCTGCTTCCATTCAAATTAAACCAAGTTCACTTATATCACATTTCCCAACAGTAATCAAAAAGAAACAAACTGCCCTGGCTGGTTTGGCTCAGCGGTTAGAGCGTCAGCCAGTGGACCGGAGAGTTGCGGGTTTGGTTCCCATTAGAGGCATATACCTCGGTTGCAATTTGTTCCTGGCCCCGGTTGGGGTCGTATGGGTGGAAGCCACTCAATGTGTCTCTCTCACATTGAAGTTTCTCTCTCTCTCTCTCTTCCTCCCTCTCTCCCTCCCACTCTGTCTGAAGATAAATGCAAAAGTGTCCTCGGGTAAGGATAAAAAAAAGAGAAAGAGACAAGATTAATAGTCAGTGAAGGAAGAGCATCCTCAGGTTGAGGCTGAAGAGTCTACATCTAAGGAACAGAAGCAATCTTTAGTTAAAAAAGGAGAGAGATTCAGTGATGAATCAGACATAGTCCTTGTTCCCCAAGAGTTTATGAAGGAACTAGAGAAGAAAAAACTTGAACATCCATAAACACCATCAAAAGTTATTTGAGATCAGCCTGATTAACAATCTGGTCCCCAGTAACCCACTTTGTTTGATAAACTGTTACCAGAAGGAAATACCTCACACCTCTCTCCTCGAGCACAAACCAGAGTTGGTACTAAGAAAAGAGCGTTGGGAGTTGGTCAAGTGTGAGTTGGAGCCCTCCCATCATGACCTAGAGAAAATGACTAACCCAAGACTTGATTTTCTTGTCTGTAAAAAGGAAATAATAATCTCTGACTCCCAGGATTGTTGAGAGAATTAGATAAATACATAGGCTCTGTATGTGTCTGAACCCTACCCTCTCTACTCCCCTCCCCCAATTCTCTCTCTCCCACTCCCGCTTCTCTATACATATAAACTCACGGTCTCTCAAGGAATCACAATGTACAGAGGTGCAGGAGGAGGAAGAATGACAGGAGTTTTGGCCCATACCTCATCTAGTGCATTGTCTTTGTCCTGGCAGACAGCAAGCAGATAGATCGATGCTCTGAAAACCACAAGTGGAGGGTGCTCACCCTGGTCCTGCAGAGACAGTAGGAAGCTTTGCACAGCCACAAATAAGTCTGCCTCTGAGACAAACCTGTCAACCAAAGAAAGTCTGAGTGAGAAAGGAAGAGATAGCTGTCCTGCCTTGCCACATCCCCACTTAGCCACTGTCATTCTGCTCCAGTATGTCCACAGCCCAGTGACACCTTGTACAAAGAGAATGCCATATATGCTTATAAAGCATTATCACACGCACAACACATGGTTCTATGCTTTGTGCAAGGCTGTTAGGGCCCAGAGACTCCTCACTCACACCTAGAAGGTGAAACATCAGCCAGGTAGACCAACATGGTTAAAAAGAAGGATGCTACTTCTGGGGGTCACGAGGCCCTGCTCTGGCAGCCAGTCCACACCTCTCGTATTTATCATTAAATATTTGTATGTTCAGTGGGCTCATTTCTGGGGGAGGGAGACATCTATGCTTGTATATGCAAGAGAGATGAGGGTAAGAAGACTGACTTTTCACTATATATATTTTTATACCTTTTACATTTTCTACCATGAGTATGTATGATAGGTGTATCAGATTAAGTATAAAAAATTTTTTTAAATGGGTAATATTAAATGCAATGTGGTATGCTAGACTGTTCCTAGAACAGAAAAGAAAGAGCAGGGAAGACATTTTCAACAAATGGTGCTGGGAAAACTGGGTATCACATGCAAAATAATGAAGTTGGATACTTGCCTAACACAATATTAAAAAATTAACCCCAAATGGATCCAGACATAAATGTAAGACCTAAAACTATAAAACTCTTGAAGGAAAACATATGGCAAAAGTTTCATGACATCAGATTTAGCAACAATTTCCTGGATATGACACCAAAGGCACAGATAACAACAAAAAAATAGACAAATTGGACTTTGTAAAAGTTTTTAAATTTTGTGCATCAAAAGACACTATCAACAGAATAAAAAGGCAACCCACAGAATGTAAAACAGTATTTGTAAATAATATACCTAATAACAAATTAATATCTAGAATATATATAAAACTCCTAAATTTCAACAATAAAACATATCAATCTGATTAAAAAATGAGCACAGGACTTGAATAGACATTTCTTCAAAACAAGATATACAACCTGGCCAGTTTGGCTCAGCAGTTAGAGTATAGGACTGCAGACCAGAGAGTCCTGGGTTCGGTTCCTGCTAGGGACGCATACCTCGGTTGCAGTTCATCCCCAGCCCCGGTTGAGGTCCTGCGGGTGGCAACCAGTCGATATGTCTCTCTCACATCAATGTTTCTCTCTCTTCCTCCCTCTCTCCCTCCCGCTCTTTCTGAAGATAAATGCAAAAATGTCCTTGGGTGAGGATAAAAAAAAAAAAAAAAAAAAGAAGAAGAGCCCTGGCCAGTTTGGCTCAGCGGTTAGAGCGTTGGCCTATGGTCCAGAGAAACCCGGGTTCAGTTCCCGCTAGGGGCGCGTACCTCGGTTGCAGTTTGTCCCCGGCCCTGGTTGGGTCGTGTAGGTGGCAGCCACTCGATGTGTCCCTTTCACATGGATGTTTCTCTCTCTCTCTCTCCCTCCCACTCAATAATACAACCCATTTTCCACTTATCTGTGTCCCCAGTGCCCAACACCAGGCTTAGAAAAGATGCCTCTGTAAATATTAAATTGAATTGGGCTGCAGATGCGGGTCTCAGAACCCATCGCCAGCCACCAGCTCTGAGCACTGACCTGTCCTCATGGATGTAGGCCAGGTAGAAGAGGAGCAGGATGCAGTACTGTCTCTGACGAGCAGTTCCCTCCTGGCAATCTGACAGGAAGGCAAGGCTTTCAGGGCTCCTGCTGCTTATCTGGGGTAGCCCATGCTGCAGGACCTCGGACACTGTAGAGAGTTCTAGGGAGAAAATAAGCAGGAGAAAACCACACAGAGAACACAGGAGAACAGGCAATGAGCACATGGGTATCTACTATATGAAGAGTACTGCACAAGGTAGCAAGGGTACATCGGATAACAGCAAATCAGAACCCCTTCTTCCTTTATGCAGCTTTCAGCCAACCAGAAGAGACTAAAGATGACATGGATACATTCATTCATTCATTCATTCATTTGGCAAATGTTCACCCAGAGGCTACTCTAGGCCAGGCTGTGAGACACAGGCCCTACCTCCAGGCAGCTGGTGGGGAAAAACAGATAATGAAACAAATAACTGCAGGACATATGATCAGTGCCATGTTCAAGTAGAAGAGGGAGTACCTCATGCCTCCTGGAATGAAAACAAGCTCAAAGGAGGGAACTATGGAGGGTGAGCAAATAACAGGCAGAGAAGGAAAAGAAAATAAACTAGGGACAGTAAACAAGGTGTTCAGAGGCCTGGAGGCATAAGAAGACATGTCATGTCATGTTTATCGGGTGGCAAGGAATTCAGTGTGATTGGACTGTCAGTGAATAGATGTGGAGTGTTAGGAGTGTTAGTTACGTAATTTGTAGCTAGACTGTGAAAGACCTTGATGGCTGAGTAAAGAATTCGGATTTTAGCCCTGGCAGGTTTGGCTCAGTGGTCAGAGTTTCGGCTCTCAGACTGAAGGGTCTCGGGTTTGATTCCCAGTCAAGGGCATGTATCTGGGTTGCAGGTTCGATCCCTGGCCCTGGTCAGGGTCATGTGGAAGGTAGCTAATCTATGTTCTCTCTCACATCAATGTTTCTCTCTCTCTCTCTCCCCCTACCTCCATTCCAACTCTATCTGAGAATTAATGGAAATGTATACTCAAGGGAGAATTCGCAAGGAAAAAAAAATTTTTTTTAATTTAAAAGAATTCAGATTTCATCCTGAGAGCAGATTCCTAGATTTCTTTTTTTTTTAGATTCCTAGATTTCTTATGAAACCTCTGTTTCATAAAAGAAAGGGTATTTTAATACCAAAACAATATGAAAGAAAAGGACATCAGAGCTTAAAATTTTAATAAAGTCAACATTGTGAAAAATTTACTACATTATCTTAATTTTCCACATTTCATCACAGACCAGAAAAAACTCCATCACTGTCTGACAGTGCCCCATAGACGAATGTTTGGGAACCATGGCTGAAAGCCAGAGGAGTTAAGATGTTAAGACCTGGTTTTCAGATAGATTCTTCCAGCATGGATAGAGACAGGGTGGAGGATGAAAGACTGAAAATGGAAGTCTTTCAAAGACTGAAAGTTGGAAGTCAAACAAAAGGGCCCATCCTGCAACTGCAGTAGACCTAGGGCCAAGTAGAAGATGAAAATGGAGACTGTCCCAACTGCAATATGGTAGCAGAGCCAGGTCAAGTTTCCTAATATTAAGTTTAGTCCTTTTTCCACCAAAGTGCACTATGAGCATTATGATGACAACGAAACTAATATTCTTGAGCCTCACACACCCACCTGCCCTCTCTTCTCATATTTTAAAGAAGCAGTGCGTCTGTAATAAAGTTGGCTGCTCTTCCTGGTGATCTGAGATTTGACATCTCAGTGCCCAGGAGGCAGATATGTGGAGCTTCTTGTATCTGATGAGAGAGGGAGCTGCCAGCAGCAGTGGGGTTGGCATTGTTGAGCACAAGAAGCCCCAGTGATGTGGCTCCATGGCAGAAATCCTTGTGCTATTCTCTCTGCAGGCCAGACCACACCTGAACAGGCAGAGAGCTTGGACCAGCAGAGAGGAACGGCAGTGCAATGAGAGAACTAGGAGCAAAGCCAGGATGGAAGGAATGAAAATGCTCACCTGGGTTTCTCTCTCTCTCTCTCTCTCAGCATGGTGTTTGAGAAGGACAAAAGAGAAAGAGGTTCAGAAAGTGAGGGAGTTGACAGGCACCATAAATGTAAAAAGAGGAAACACGAGCCCTGGTTAGTTTGGCTCAGTGGTTAGAGTGTCAGCCCGCTGACCAAAGAGTCATGGGTTCGATTCTGGTCAAGGGCCCTGGTAGGGGTCATGTGGGAGGCAACCAGTCGATCTGTTTCTCTCACATCGATATTTCTCTCGCCCTCTCTCCTTCCTATTCTGTCTAGAAATAAATGGAAAAATATCCTCGGGTAAGGATTTTTTTATTTATTTTATTTTATTATTATTTTTTATCCTCACCCGAGGATATTTTTCCATTTTTTGTACAGATAGAGTGGGAGGGAGAGAGAGGAAGAGAGAGAGAGAGAGAAACATCGATGTGAAGGGACACATCGAGTAGCTGCCACCCGCACGACCAACCAGGGCTGGGGACAAACTGCAACCGATGTACGTGCCCTTAGCGGGAACTGAACCCGGGTCTCTCCTGACCGCAGGCCAACGCTCTCACCGCTGAGCCAAACCGGCCAGGGCGGGTAAGGATTTTTTTAAAAAGAGGAAACAGCCCTGGCTGGTTTGGCTCAGGGCTGGTTAGAGCATCGACTTGCGGTCCAGAGGGACCCGGATTCGGTTCCCACTAAGGGCACGTACCTTGGTTGCAGTTTGTCCCAGCCCTGGTTGGGTCATGAGGGTGGCAACCACTCGATGTGTCCCTTTCACATGGATGTTTCTCTCTCTCTCCCTCCCACTCTATCTGAACAAAAAATGAAAAAATGTCCTTGGGTGAGGATTAAAAAAAAAAAAAATAGAGGAAACATGAGTGGCATTATGTCTTACCCAAAATAAAGATATATTATTTGTTGAATGACTAAAATGATTAAATTGTTTTATGTTATACATAAGAGAGAGGTCTAGGATAGAGGAACTCCTTAGAGCAAAGAACATATCGTATCCCCAGCAGAATCTAGGCCTCCCCTGGCATGTAGCAGAAGCTCACTGAATATTCAATGAAGGGAAAACTTTGAGCTGTCAGCCCTGCCTTCTGCATGGGTTTCCTTTACCTCACTCAGACCACTGATAAAATGTCACCTCCTCACAGGGGTCTTCCCTGACCACTCTGTCTAACATATATCACCTTCCTCTATCAGCCCTAAGTCCTCTTGCCCAGTTTTATTTTTTTCATAGCACCTATCTATCCCTGACACTGTATTTATGTGTTTATTGTCTGCCTCTCCCACTCCATGAGAACAGGACTTTATATCCTAGCTCTATCAGCAGAGTCTGGAGTAGAGTCCGACACACATTAGATGTTCAAGAAATATTTCTTGAATGAAGAAACGAACCAGTCTGTTAAAGATATTTTGAGCAGGTGTCTATGCAGGTAACAAGCAGAGAGCAAGAGGTCTATTGTGGGGGATGTGGCGGAGCACATGGTCGAGGGAGAAAATGGGTTTGATGAGCTGTAGGGTCCTTCTGGACCCTTAGAGTCTAAGGGTCCAGGAGTCTTGGATTCCATCATTTTCTGGTTTTATTATCTCATCTCCCTAGAAATCAGCCAATAGTTCCATCATTCCATGATTCCATGGCCCTTCTGGGCAGCTTCAAGCAAAGGGATCTTATTGAATTGACTCACTACCCAGCCAAATGATAAGGCATCCAGACTCTGAAAGACCACCACAGACCTCATGAGTAGTCAAATAGCAGCATCTTACCTTCTTGGGAAGGTGGACCTGTATTCTCTGGAGCTGAGAGGAGGTTGATGCACAAGGAGTAGAGGAAACTGGCACACATCTGGTTTAGAGCTGAATGACTTGGAGAAAACGAAGAGCAAAGAGAGAAGACATTGCTACTTTGGTTGGGACAGCATTATCCCTACCATATACTGGGGCACCACTGCTTTGTGCCAGAGCCCAGTGATATTCTAATCATGATGCCGGTAGAGGAGGTCCAGAGGTGGCTATAAAAAAGTAAATATGGGCCCTGGTCAGTTTGGCTCAGCAGTTAGAGCGTCGGCCTGCAGTCCGGAGAGACCCGGGTTCAGTTCCTGCTTAGGGGCATGTGCCTCGGTTGCGGTTTGTCCCCAACCCTGGTTGGGTCGTGCAGGTGGCAACCACTCGATGTGTCCCTTTCACGTCGATGTTTCTCTCTCTCTCTCTCTTCCTCTCTCTCCCTCCCACTCTATCTGAACAAAAAATAGAAAAATGTCCTTGGGTGAGGATAAAAAAAAAAAGTAAATATGGACCCTGGCCATTGTGGCTCAGTGGTTAGAGTGTTGGCCCATGCACCAAGGGTCACAGGTTTGATTCCAGGTCAAGGACATGTACCTGGGTTGCAGGTTCAATCCCCAGCCCTGCTCAAGGCATGTTCGAAAAGCAACCAATCAACGTGGTCCCTCGCATATCAATGTTTCTCTCTCTCTCCCCCTCCCCTTAAAATCAATGGAAAAAATATCCTCAGGTGAGGATTAACAAAAACAAAAAAGTAAATATGGAGCCTGGCTGAAGTAGTGCATTGGTCGAGCATTATTCTGTGCACAGAAAGGTTGCCGGTTCAATTCCTGGTCAGGGCACATACCTGGGTTTCAGGTTTGATCCCCAGTAAGGGAGCACAGGGAAGGCAACCAATGGATGTTGCTCTTCTCTTCTCCGTCTCTGTCTCCTCCTCTCCTCTCTTCTCTTCTCTTTTTCTTCTCTCCCTCCCTTCCTCTGTCCAAGCATGTCCTGGGGTGAGGATTTTTTAAAAAGTAAGTATGGAACCTGCTGCTGAATTATGACTTAGGCACTTGGTCCATACAGGTATTGACTAAACATCTGCTGAAAAAATAAATCAAGGAGGGCTACTAAGTTCCAGTTTCACAAAACATACAAACAAAAAATTTGGCTTTTAAGTTTAATAAACTGAATATGAATTAAAAAAAAAAAAAAAGTGTACCTGATCAGGAAAAGGCTGAGGAATACTAGAAAGAGAGGAAGCTGTTGAACGCAAGACGGGTACTCAAGAACTACAAATAACCAAAATTGTGGCTTTAAATCCAGATGGATCCCAGAATTTTCCTCTGAACACTGGGTGTTCTATTCAGAGACATGAAAGGAGAGCTAAATACTGCATTGTGGTCACTTTGCAGGCTGTAGGCATTAATGAAAGGAACCTGCCAAGTACGTGCAGAGACAGGTGGCAAATCATTAATGGGAAGGTTCAGAGGCTGCTCCAGCCCTGGCCGCTGTGGCTCAGTTGGTTGGAATATTGTCTTGTACACAAAAAGGTGGCATGTTTGATTCTGGTCAGGGCACATGCCAGAGGCAACTGATCGATGTTTCTCTCGCACACTGGTGTTTTTTTTTCTCTCTCTCCCTTCCTCTAAAAAACAATTAAAATTTTCTTGAAAAACAGAAACCCAACAAGATAGACTGAGGCAGCAACCTCTACTTGGAATAAGAGAATTTCTCCTCTGGAATTGCTGGGCTGGTGGCAACTAGAATATGACTCTTTTGTTGTTGTTGTTGTTGTTAATCCTCACCTTAGGATATTTTTTCTGTTGATTTTTTCAGAGAGAGTCAAAAGGAGGGAGGGGGAGGGAGCAAGAGAGAGAGGGAGGTACAAAGAGAGGGAGAGAAAACAATTGATATGAAAGAGACACATCAGCCCTGGCCGGTTTGGCTAAGCGGTTAGAGCATCAGCCTGCGGACTGGAGAGTCCCGGGTTTGGTTCCCCTAAGGGCACGTACCTTGGTTGCAGTTTGTCCCCAGCCCCGGTTGGGGTTGTGAGGGTGGCAACTAGTCAATGTGTCTCTCTCACACTGATGTTTCCTTCTCTCTCTCTCTCTCTTCTTTCCTTTCTCCCTCCTGCTCTATCTGAAGATAAATGCAAAAATGTCCTCGGGTGTGGATAAAAAAAAAAAAAAAAATGCTAGAGCCTGGTTGGTGTGGCTCAGTGGATTGACTGTCGTCCCATGGACTGAGAAGTCCTGGTTTGATTCCTGGCTGCAGGCTTGATCCCCAGTAGGGAACATGTAGGAGCATTTCTATTTCTCTCTCTCTTCCTTTCTCTCTAAAAAAATCAATTAAAAAAGATATAGAAGCATATCCTGCTCATCTCACCAATTACTGAGTAATTCTGACACTGTGTCAATCCCACCATGGTCCTTTTAGATTAAACCACACTAGTCAGAAATTTCCACTTGTCCAGTCAAGAAGGATGCTGGCTCCTTGACAATTTTGCCTGGGACCATACGTACCTCAGGCCACTGCAGAACCTGGCCTTCAGTTCCAGAGTTAGTCGTATGAAGGATGAGGCAGCTTGGAAACAGTGGAAGGAAAGCAGAAAGCAGTTTAAATCAGATGTGTTACAGAGATTCCCAAGTCTAGGTGGTATCGAAGAGAACTAGTTTTAAAATCATGCAGACCAGGGTTCAAATTTTGCTCCATCACTATCTAGTATTATAACTCAGAGCACTTATTTAACTTCTCTGAGAATCAGTTTCAATATCTATACCTCATAGGCTGCTGTGAAACTGAGATGAAAACAGGATTCTAAACAAGGAGATCATCAAGAGCTCCCACTGCACCAGCTCCTGTTGGGGATAATCTGTATTCTGCCCTGGGGCTAAAGCATATAGCTAGGACTCAATCCCTCTGAGTTTCACAGCAACTTTCTGGGACAGCAGTTTAACCTATGACTCCTCCTGCTCCTCCTGGCCCAGTCTCTCAGGGACCCAGACTTTCTCCATCCCCTGTTCCAGGTCTCTGCTCAACTCTTGGCTAGCAGTGCCTGCTTCCCTCTTCTCTCCTGCAGGTTGGGCCCCTGATCCTGTTCTAGCTGGCTTCATACTGCATAGATCTCCCCATACACAGCCTTTCTCTACATCCCTTGCTCTCTACCACTGCCCCCTCCTCCGAGATTTATACATCTGAAACTCTACCCATCTAGCACACCAAGACTGGATCCTCTTGGCTCTTGAAGTATGGCAGGCAAGAAGAGTGAAGGAGCCCTGGCCGATTTGGCTCAGCGGTTAGAGCATCAGCCTGCGGTCCACAGAGACCCGGGTTCGGTTCCCGCTAAGGGCATGTACCTTGGCTGCAGTTTGTCCCCGGCCCTGGTTGGGTCGTGTGGGTGGCGGCCACTCGATGTGTCCCTTTCACATCGATGTTTCTCTCTCTTCCTCTCTCTCCTTCCCACTCTATGAGTAAAAAAGGGAAAAAATGTCCTCGGGTGAGGATTAAAAAAAAAAGAAGAGTGAAGGAAAGGAAGGAAAAAAGTGTGTGTCATCTGTCACAATGACTAAGGTACAGTCATTCAGAAAATCTATCTATGTTATCTCACTTAATTCTCATTAGTGTTACCATGTTCTAACAAAGAACATTGGAGATAAGAAAATTGATTTGCCAATATCAATAAATAAGTAAAGGATGAATAATCCCAACCCACCTGTACTAACAACAAAGGTCCTGCTTTATTTCCTCTTCCACATAGCCTCCCACTTTCTCCTAGAAGCTCCCACTCATACTTTCTATGTGGAATACCTTCCTAAGGGTTTCCTGTGCTCTGTTCTTTTCCTGGAAAGAACAAAGATCCCTCCAAACTGGGACAAGGGACCTCCCCAGAATGACCCAGACCATCCATCAGAAACTTCCTTGGAAAGAATGAGATGTGACAACAGAACCAAAAGTTGGAGTGGTGCAGGACCAAGGAATTCAATGGCCTCTAGAAGCTAAAAAAGGCATGGGAACAGATTCTCCCCTAGAGCCTCCAGAAGGAGCCAGCCCTGCCTACACCTGGATTTTAAACCCCTAAGACTAGTTTTTAGACTTATAACTTCCAGAACTATTAAGATAACTTGTGACTAGTTTTTAGACTTCTTTTTTTTTTTTTTTTTTAATCCTCACCCGAGGACATTTTTCCATTTTTTGTTCAGATAGAGTGGGAGGGAGAGAGAGGAAGAGAGAGAGAGAGAAACATCGATGTGAAAGGGACACATCGAGTGGCTGCCACCCGCACAACCAACCATGGCCAGGGACAAACTGCAACCGAGGTACATGCCCTTAGCGGGAACCGAACCTGGGTCTCTCGGGACCGCAGGCCGACACTCTAACCGCTGAGCCAAACCGGCCAGGGCTAGTTTTTAGACTTCTAACTTCCACAACTATTAAGATAATTTGTGTTGTTTTAAAAAAAAAAGGCCTGGCCAGTGTGGGTCAGTGGTTTGAGCATCAGCCTATGCACCAAAGGGTCACAGGTTTGATTCCCAGTCAAGGGCATGTACCTGGGTTGCAGGTTCGATCCCTGGCACCAGTGGGGGCGCATGTGGTAGACAACCAATTGATGAGTCTCTCTCACATTGATGTTTCTCTCTCTCTCCTCATCCCTTCCTTCCATTCTCTCTAAAAATCAATGAATAAAATAGCCACAGGTGAGGATTAACAAACAAACAAAAAAGAAAGATAAGAAACTCCTTCAAAATCCCAAATCAAATTTACAGACAACTGCAGAAAGCATTCCCTCATCTCCCCAGGTCTAGAACCTGCCTCTCTCCTTCCACAGGACCTTTCTCTGCTTCTCATCTAGGAGTCTCTCTACTCCTATTCTGCTAATCAGAATAAGTGGCTCTAGTCTTAAGAGGTAGAAAAACCCTTCCTGCCCTGGCCAGTTTGGCTCAGCAGTTAGAGCGTCAGCCTGCGGTCCACAGAGACCTGGGTTCGGTTCCCGCTAAGGGCATGTACCTTGGTTGCAGTTTGTCCCCGGCCCTGGTTGGGTCGTGTGGGTGGCGGCCACTCGATGTGTCCCTTTCACATCGATGTTTCTCTCTCTTCCTCTCTCTCCTTCCCGCTCTATCTGAGTAAAAAATGGAAAAATGTCCTCGGGTGAGGATAAAAATAGAAAGAAAGAAAGAAAGAAAGAAAGAAAGAAAGAAAGAAAGAAAGAAAGAAAGAAAGAAAGACCCTTCCTAATTCCATGTCTCCTCCAATTATACCTCCATTTCTCACCTCCCCCTCAAACCAAACTTATCAAAAGAATTGCCTATCTTGTTTCTACTGCCTTACCTCACACTCACTCTTCAACTCACTATAAATAGTCTGGTTTCCACCCCAACTGCTCTGGCCCAAGTGACCAACAGCCTCTATGATACCAAGTCAATGGATATTTTTCAGTTCTCATCTTACTTGACTTCTGGTACTTATTTTACACTCCTACCACTCCCTAATCTGTAAAACTCTCTTCACTCGGCTTACTCAATGTCATACTCTGCTGTTTATCTTCCTACCTTGCCAATTGTTCCTTACTAGTGAGTGTCTTTTGGCGTCTCCTCCTCCTCCTGACCATTAGATGTTGCTCTTGATTTTGTCTTGGCTCCTTTGATGTCTCATTTTACACACTCACCCTTGAGGAATCTCACCTGTTCCCACTAGAGAGAAGGCCCCACAAGGACAGGAGTCTGTTTTGTTCACTGCTACATCCTCAGCCCTAGGACAGTGCGTTTCATGTAGTAGGTACCCAACAAATATTTGTTGAATGAATGAAAGGCTGGATGCTCAAGACTTTTATAACTATATCTAAAGACCAGATCTCTCCCCCGACCTCACATAGTCAATTACCTACCTAACATCTCTACTGGAATATCTCACAGGCATCTCACACTCACCCTGACCAAACTGATCTTGAGGTTTCCTCCAGTGATCCTCCTCTCAATAAAAAACACCACCACCCACTTAGATGGCAGTCAGAAGCCAAGGCATTACCCTGAACTGTTCCTTCTCCTTCATGACCTATATCCAACTATCCCATGCCCCCATACTACTTTAGTACCTATAACCAACCTGAGTTAATGCAAGAGGCTGAACTACTTGCCTCCAATCTTTCCTCCCTTTAACTACTCATGGTTCACACTGCTCTAAGAAAAATCTTTCTAAAACAGAAATCTGAGTAAGTCACTTTCCTTTAAGACTCAAATCCTAGTTCAAATTTCTCAGATGGCCAACAAGCCCCTGCATGACTGAGCCCTGGCTACCTCTACATGGCAGACTTTCCACTGCATTCTACATGGCAGGAATAAAAACAAAAAGACATTAAATGATAATTATAAGAGGTGAGCATAGCTTGGAGATTGGGAAAATAGGCTCTAGAGCCATATTCTGAGTTTGAATTCTGGGCATACTACTTCTAGTGTGATCTTAGGCAAGTAATACAACCTCTATGAGTTTCAGTGTGCTCATCAGTTGAATGAGGATAATCATACTACATACTTACTAGGGTTTTTCTGAGAACTAAATGAATTAATACATGTAAAGCACTTAAAACAGCATCTCACACATAGTAAGAATATAGTAAATGTTGGTTATTACTTATTACTATCTTTCTCTTCCCCTTTCTGTTTTTGGCTATTCCTGCTGCCCATTCTCACCATCACTACCATTTCCTAAGGAAGATAAAGAAGACTCTGCCTCTGATTCCTGGGCTTATTCTGCAGATGTAAGTATTTACAGGATGAAAACTAGAGAAGTGGGAAAAGAAGGTTTACAATGTATACAAAAAGAAATGACTAATGAGAGATAAAAATAAATGGATGCAAGAAGGCCTGGAGAAGGCTAGTGTCAAGAGCCACTTGGGTCCAATTTTAGGAAAGCACTTCAGTATTGTGTTAGGTAGCAGCTTTCACACAGTGCTACCACTACCCTGGAAGGCATTTGAAAGTATGTGGGATGTTTTTCAGATGTCACAATGACTGAGGGTACTTCTGACATTCAGTGTTCAGGCATAAGATGCTAAACCTCTTGTAAGGTCTCAGGAAATATGAAATATGATAGTAATATGGAAAGAGGTGCATTGTGGGTTTTGCACTGAAATCTCATTCACACCCTCAGAGAATTTCAATAAATTTGAGAACTTATTTTAAGGAACTTGCTTTCTGGATGATATTCCCTTCTACTCAACACTAGGCAGAGTGGATTTTGATTCTGAACAAATATGTAAACTTCCCATCCACAGGTTATGCTCTTTGAGTATCTGAGCAGTTGCCTAAGGTGCCTGCCTCCCTCCCAACTTCCACACTTGCTTGCTGCTTACCAAGCTTCCTGGAGAACTTCTCCTTCATGTGGGGAACGATGTCAAAGAGGCTGTGTAGAACCGAGAGGAAAACTTCCATCAGGGTTGGGTGAGTGGCCTGCTCCAAGTGCCTCTAAAAAGAACTAGGAGTGAGAACACAGCCCACCAGGAATAAGCCTCTGAAGAAGAAAAATCATTAGCAAAACTGGCATCAAATCTAAAACAGTAGACTAAACCCTTTCATTTGAAGGAACCCTAAAGTCACAAACCTACATCCAAGGTTTATGATCCATCACTTAATAATGTGTGTAAGATACTTTACTTCTCTGGGCCTCTATATCAAAAAGAATAAAATAGGAGTAACAAATCCTACCTCCCCCCCAAAATGAGATCTGATATGTGAGAAGTACTTTCTAAACAATAATGCAGAGTGACATCCATGTTTCTATTACTATAGTCATAGCAATAAAATAAAGTTTACGAACTGCCTTCATATTTATTTTGTATGTGATTTTTGAACAGAGTCCTGAGACAGCCTGATGTAGAGATAGAGCTCCGGATATAGAGTAGAGAAACTTGGGTTCTTGTCCAAGCTCTGCCAAGGTCACTATGTGCCCTTGGGTCATTCCTTCCTCCCCCAATCCTTCTCAATGTCAGTTCCCTATCTGTAAAGATCTGGGACTTCAGAGACATGATTCTTAAAGATACTGTTCCTTTGGTTTTCAACCAAGTTTAAAAAAGAAAAAACTTAGAAAATACAAAATGTGTGAAATACAGAAAAGTAGAAATCAAGAATAACAATTCTATGATCTAGTTCTAGATCTAGCTCTAACACTTAATGTATCTAGGAGAAAGGCAGAGCAGAAGGAAGGCATGAGGACATCAATGCAAACTGCCCAAGAGTTACTAATTGAGTGTGCCAGTCACGGCTGTAACCTATGGCTCCTGGCAGTTAGCAGCCTGAAGACCCTGGCATGCTGGCTCACAGGGCTCTTCAAGGAAAAGAGGTTCTCTCCTGTCAGAACCAGAGGAAGCCTCTCTGCTGCTGCCCACTGTTCCCTGGTTGCCATCCTGATTATCAGGCACCCTTCAAAGGCTGACAGGATGTCCACACCTCAAACAGCTCACTCAATGTCAGCTGGGTAGTCAGCTGCTCTGGACCCAGATCTTCCTACCATCTCTATCTCAAGTCAACTCAAAATGAAGCTCTTCCAGACCAGGTCTCTCTTCAGAGTGACCATCTCTCATTATACAGAACACATGTGTTCCTTAGTTAGTCTGGATCACCAACATTCATCACTGCTCTTTACTATGCAAGACACATGGGTTCAAGTCTCAGTACCGTATGCACTTGCTTTATAACCATAGGAACATGACACTATCATCTTCAAATTGGGGGAAATTATAGTACCCAACTCACAGGGTCATTGGGATGATCAAATTAGGTAATGAATATAAAGCATTTATCACTCCATAAACACTACCTATTTATTTATTTTATTATTACTGCTTTCTACTTTTTCTCAAAAGGCATTTACTAGTGTTACAATGAAATACTACACTTTGTTTTTAAAACTAAAGGAAAAGTGGTTGCAAGAACAACCCTGATGAGAAATTCAAAAGGTCCAGTTGAGTAGTCACTGCCTTGCATCTCTAGGCATAGCTCACTCTCACATTCTTCTCCTCCTCAAGCTTCATTCTGTCCATGGCTCAAGGAACCCACCATCACCATGGGGATACAAAAGGAGTCACAGGCACTGAGAAGAAATTCTGAGAAGTTCTCCAAGGTGTCTTCCTTCTCGGCGCTGGGAGCTGTGAATGGATTCTCCTGGGCGTAAGGCTCGCTCTGGAATTCCACAGCCAACCTGAGAAATCAATGTGTGAGTGTATCCACTACTACCTATGAAACATAAAGGTTAGAAGCATCCTCCTAGAGGAATACCTGAGCTCAGGATCCAGAGAAAGTATACCTGTCAGCAGATCTGGAGAAAATACAACAGGCCTCAAAGTGGGAGGGCCTCGTTTGTGGCTACCTCTCTAGCTTCATGCTCCCCACCCCCTCTCACATAATAAATGACTGTTCCACCCTAGTACAGGTACTTCCCTGAACATACCATCCTGTTTGCTGTTTCACATCTCTTTGCCTTTATGTACGCTGCTCTCTCCACCTGGAATGCCTTCAGCAGATCTGTGACAACCTAATGAATTCCATATATATACACAAAAGTCTCTTCCACAAGAGATTGTGAGCTTCTTGTGGGCAAGAGCTAACCTAACATATCTTTCTACTTCCACTACCTAGCACCAGGCCTGGGACACAGTAGATATTTTAAAAACACTGTAAATTTAAACTGAGTTAATCCAAAAAGGATTCAGTGAATACCTATACAGTTAAGTTATTTGGGAAGAGAAACAAAGTTGAATGAGATATAACCTCATTACACAGCAACACAAATTTCACCAGAAGGGAATCTCTAGAAACCTCCCACTGTAGCAACATGTCCTCAAACCTCCTCCACACACCCCCTCCACACCCACACATATCCCCAACCCCCACCCCAGCAAAAGTCCTTTCATTATGCAGCAAAGCATCAGAACTCAAGTGTTGCTTCTAAAACTTCATCCTTTGTCTGATTCCTTTCCAAGCCCACTCTCCATAGTACTACTCAGATCACAGAGGGCCCCTCACCTGCAGGCATTTCTAAATCCCTCCAGAGTGTTCAGGAGAAAATTTCCCCTTCGAAGAATGGCCTTCTCCAAATCTCTACTGGAGGCATGGCCCTGAGGTGAGAAGGAGAGAGGGGAACTTATTGGTCAAGTACCTACTCTGTGTCCCAGTCTGTGCGTAGAGGACTACAGATCTCTTCCTCTCATACTGCCGTCTGTCATTCCCATACACCTACACTTCCCAGGGGATCTTGGTTACATCCTTGAAAATCTAGCCATCTAATGGCTCCTTTAAAAAGTGGTAGAAGGGGGAACCTTAACCTGTGAGCCACAGGACCAACTCTTGTTCAGAAAGCTTAAAGGTTGGTGGACATTGGTCTAATTGGCTGTAATGCCCACAATAGCTGCTTCAAAACACACAAAAATCCCTACCCCATTAGGTGTGAAGAACTTAATTTCCAAAGTTAATCTTGAAAGACATAATCAGGCCCTGGCCGGTTTGGCTCAGCGGTTAGAGCGTCGGCCTGCAGTCCAGAAAGACATAATCAGTGTTCACATTAACAGTATCTTTCTGATATTTTAAGTCCATGGATCATTAAAAGCCAACAATTCAACACATTGCACATTGGTCAAATTTTTTCTAAGATTCTAGTAAAAACAACCTTAAGTAACTTTGTGAACATGTTTACCATACCTGCTTAAATAATATAAAAGACAAAGTGTGCAGCAGGCTTAGATACAAACAACCTAGGATTTACTATCCAAAATCAGATATTTGCTAGTTTTAAACTTTACAGAAAAAATTATTTAGCCCTGGCCAGTTTGGCTCAGCAGTTAAGAGCTTCAGTTGGAGAGTCCCAGGTTCGGTTTCTGCTAAGGGCACGTGCCTCGGTTGCAGTTTGTCCCCGGCCCTGGTTGGAGTGATGTGGGTGGCAACCACTCGATGTGTCTCTCTCACATCGATGTTTCTCTCTCTCACTTCCTCATTCTCTCCCTCATGCTCTATCTGAAGATAAACACACACACACAAAAAGTGTCCTTGGATGAGGATTAAAAAAAAATTTATTTAATCTTTGTGGCTTCAGTCTCCTAATCTGTAAAAATAAAAATAGCAAGTATTAAGTAAACCTCATACCTCTGTAGTTAGGGGAATAAAAGAATATCTCATTGTAGTTATAGTGGCATACAAAGGTAAGGTAATTATCTTCTAAAAACACATTACAACAGACTCCAGACTGCAATTCACTGACCAAGGACCTCCTGCTCAGCAGGGTCTGGGAGAAATCAGCACACCGGTTCAACATGGCTTCAAGCAAGGACCGCAGTTCCCTGTACTGCACAGGTGGAGCACTCTGATGGTCCTTCCTGCATCCAGAGAGACAAAGGTTGGCTTAGGGTGAGGTAAGGGTATTCTAAGATATTCTCAGGTTCTCAGGCAATGGGAGGTAATGTTGTCAATCAGAACACAGGTCCAGGATCTGCTCTGATAAAAATCCTTACTCCAGCATTTATCTAGCTGCATGACTTTGTACACATTCCTCACCCTCTCTAACCCTGTTTCCTCATCTACTAAGTGAGAGTTAGTAGTACTCTCCTCGCAGAATTACTCTAAGATCAAATCAGATAATGTATGCCAAGCACTTAGCAGTATGCTTGATAATAAGTCCTTATAAATGACAACTATGACTATTATTTTTATTATTATTATGGTTAGTTTTCACCCAAGGCTATTTTTCCATTGATTTATTTTTATTTTGGGAGTGGGTGGGAATCTAATTGCCTTTATTGTTTCCATTGATTTTTATTTTATTTTTATTTATTTATTTATTTTTCCTCACCCGAGGACATTTTTCCATTTTTTACTCAGATAGAGCAGGAAGGAGAGAGAGGAAGAGAGAGAAACATCGATGTGAAAGGGACACATCGAGTGGCCGCCACCCACACGACCCAACCAGGGCCAGGGACAAACTGCAGCCAAGGTACATGCCCTTAGCGGGAACCGAACCCGGGTCTCTGTGGACCGCAGGCTGACGCTCTAACCGCTGAGCCAAACCGGCCAGGGCCCATTGATTTTTAGACAGAGTAGGAGGGAGGAAAGGAGAGAGAGAGAAAGAAACCAACATGAGAGAGAAAGAGAGACGCATCGATTGGTTGCCTCCTGCATGACCCCAGCCAGAGCTGGGGATTGAAACTGCAACCCAGGTAGGTGCCCTTGACCAGCAATTGAACCCTAGACCCTTCCGTCCGCTGGCTGACGCTCTAACTCCTGATCCAAACTTCCCAGGGCAGCTATGACTATTATTACTGTTATTAAAGATACAGTGGGTTTTCTCAGTGAGAAGAGCCTCCTGGTGAAAGAAGTAGTCTAGAACTGAAGGTGCATCAAGAGATATATATATATGGTCACTGTTCTCAAATAAGTGATAAGCTCTTCTTGGGGAAGAGGGATCAAATTTGCTGTTACCTTGATGAGGAAAAACTGGATCAATAGGTAAATGTTATCAGGACTTAGATTTTTATTTCAGTGTAAGAAAGAACTTTCTAAGAGTCAAAACTCTATAAAGGTAGAGGGGACTATCTAGGAAGAAGTGAGCTCCCTGTTCTTGGAGATTATAAGCAGGGACTGAAAACTACTTTTGGAGATTCCATCATTGTGAATGTGGGGTAAATATGAAAAGTAACATTGAGGGTCCATTTGAACCCTCATATTCTATAGACTCAGAGAAGACAAAGGTCACTGACTAGTCTAATTGTGAGCTCCAAGAAGCCAAGGACTAGTTCCATCTTTTTTTTACCTAAACAAAGCTAGATACTTTGAAAATTGATGCTAAATAAAAAAAGATATTAAATAAAAGAATGACTATTTAACAGATATAAGGTAGCAATATTGGTTTCCTAGGGATGCTATAATAAATTATCACCAACTATGTGGCTTAAAACAACAGAAATTTATTCTCCCATAGTTCTGGGGGCTGTAAATTTTGAAATCAAGGTGCTGGCTCCCTCTAAAGGTTCTAGGGAGAATCCTGCCTTGTCTCAGCTTCTGGAGGTTGCTAGTAATTCTTGTCATTGGTTTACAGTTGCATCATTCAAATCCCATGGCCCTCTTCACTCTGTGTCTGTCACTGTATGTCTAAATCCTCCTGTCCTTATATGGTCACCAGTCATTGGATGTAGGAGCCCACACTGTATGACCTCTTAACTCATTTTAGAGGGATGCTATTCAACCCAGTGCAGTAACTAAGGAGAAACCTATGTTAATCCTCATCACTTGACCTTTTTTTTTTTTTTGAACACTGAGGGTAATCTGTTGAGCCTTCTTCTAACAGGCATTCAGTCAATAGTTAAAGCCTGATTTCCCCTTTCCTTTGTTTCTGGAATGTCTAAGTTTCTATCCTACACTGACTGTCAAGCCTTGGTTCTATCATCTTGAAATTATTTTCAGCAGTTCTTACTCCCTTTTCCTTGTTCCAGTTGTGCTTTCCAGAAACCCATTGAACCACTTCACTTCAGAGACCACCTCAGTAAACATTCTTGGAAATTAAAATCAAAAGTAAAATAGTCTAAGGATTAATAACCAGCCCCTTACCCATCAATCTCCACAATTCTGACCCAATTAGTTTTCTGGCTTCTTCTTGTACAACTCCCCTTCACACAACTGCTGGCCACAATGGCTACTAAATTCTCAGTAACTCCTTTCCCACCAATGTGTTCTGGCTAAACTGAATCCTTTCACAAATCTAAATCTCTCTCATCCTTCATTGCTCAGCTCAAATACCACTTCTTGCCTGAAAGGTGCTACCAGTCCCATAACACCAACCTCCTGGGAGACTTCCAGGTCTGTATGGACACCTCTGATTGACATTGTTCTTGCTCTATGGCTTTGTACCCTATTGGTTTACTCATCCCACCCTCATTGGGATTTATGCTCCAGATTTACAGATTCAAATCTAGGAAAGGACAAAATGGGGAAAAGAGATAGATGAAAGACATTGTAATTTTTTGTTCTAATTTTTAGGACCAACCTAGAGTAAAATCACAAAGACTTAACTATGGTTAAAGAAGAGACTATAAATATTAACAATCTTTACAATGTAAAATTAAAGGTACAGCTGACTGGCACTGAGAAGTAGAAGGTAGGGAGAAAAGGAAGAGTTGGGGTACTAATATACTCAGTTAACCAGTCAAAAGATACTGCTTCAACTTGAGGGAACGAAAAACACAAGATTTAAGTATATTATTTAAAAGTTTGAAGACAGCCCTGGCCAGTTTGGCTCAGCGGTTAGAGCGTTGGCCTGCGGTCCGGAGAGACCCGGGTTCGGTTCCCGCTAAGGGCACGTACCTTGGTTGCAGTTTGTCCCCGGCCCTGGTTGGGTCGTGTGGGTGGCAACCACTCTATGTGTCGCTTTCACGTCGATGTTTCTCTCTCTCTCTCTCCCTCTCACTCTATCTGAACAAAATATCGAAAAAATGTCCTCGGGTGAGGATGAAAAAAAAAAAAAACAAACAAAAAAAAAACAAAACAAAAAATAAAAGTTTGAAGACATAAAATACTAACTAGCAAAAATGCTAAGGAAATGTAGAGAAGACAAAATAATGTGAGCTAAATCTTGGTCTTTCTTACTGAAAGTCAATAATGTCCTAAATTTAAAAATAAAGATGCCCTGGTAGGTTTAGTTCAGCGGTTGGAGCATCGGCCCGTGGTCCAGAGAGAGCCAGGTTCGGTTCCCCCTAAGGGCACGTACCTCAGTTGCAGTTTGTCCCCAGCCCCGGTTGGGGTTGTGTGGGAGGCAGCCACTCGATGTGTCCCTTTCACATCGATATTTTTCTCTCCCTGTCTTCCTCTCTCCCTCCCACTCTATCTGAACAAAAATGAAAAAATGTCCTCGGGTGAGGATAAAAAAAAATTTAAAAAAAAAAGAAACATTATAAGAATATTATTTACATGTAGGTTATTAATCACCAGAACTAAAATACAAATGAGTTAAAACTAGTTTCCATTAGGAAGTGCGGAGAGGGGACTGTTTCATTTCATTATAAACCTTATGTATATTTTATTTATTGAATATATTACTTTGTTAGATTTTTAAAAGTGAAAACCTGGAAACAAAAAGAGTTACTATATAAATAAATACAGGTTTCCTCTATTATTTTTTTCTAAGACATCAAGTGTCTTGCTAAGGAATAATTTCCCATCTTAAACCTAGGATCTCTTAGTCTCACCATCCATTATTATTTTTTAAATGTTTTCTTTATTGATAACAGAGAGAGAGAGAGAGAGAGAGAGAGAGAGAGAGAGAGGAAGAGAGGGGGAGCGATGGAAACATCAATGATGAGAGAACATCGATTGGCCACCTCCTGTATGCCCCCCACTGAAGATTTGGCCCACAACCTGGGCATGCGCCCTGGCCAGGAATCAAACTGGCAACCTCTTGGTGCATGGGTTGATGCTCAACCACTGAGCCACACCGGCTGGGCTCACCATCCATTTTAACATCCTTCATTCACATACTAACTATCTACTAGAAGCAAGGTATATAACAGTGAAAAAAATTACATGGTCCCCGATCTCTTAAAGATTATATTATAGTTGACAGAAGCCAAAAAACAAATGAATAAACAAGAACTACCAAGTGTTTGGTAGGTGCTATAACAGCCTAACTGGTCAGTTAGGGAAGGATGCTCTGAATGAGACTTGAATGATAAAAAGAAAGCCAGCCATGCAAAGATTTAAGGAAGAGTATTTTAGGCAGAAGAAATCATTAGTAGAAAGGAAGTGGGGGGAAAGTCTAGATTAAAACAAAAGACTGAGATCTTAAAATTTACATCCATGAAATAAATACAGAATAAAAATGCAATTAATCCCAGCCAGTGTGGCTCAGTGGCTGAGCATCAACCCATGCACCAAGAGGTCACTGGTTCAATTCCTGGTCAGAGCACATGTCCAGGTTGTGGGCCAAATCCCCAGTAAGGGGCATGCAGGAGGCGACCAATCAATGTTCTCTCTTCAATGTTTCTATCTCTCTCTCCCTCTCCATTCCTCTCGCTCTAAAAAAAAAAATCAATTAAGAAAAAATAATGCTATTAAAAACATGGAGAGCCCTGGCCAGTTTTCTCAGTGGTTAGAGTCTCAGCCTGCAGACCAAAGTCCCGGGTTCAGTTCCCGCTAATGGCACGTACCTCGGTTGGTTGCAGTTTGTCCCTGGCCCCGGCTGGGGTCACATGGGTGGCAACCAATCGATGTTTCTCTCTCTCTCTTCCTCCCTCTCTCCCTCCCAATCTATCTGAAGATAAAAGCAAAAATGTCCTCAGGTGAGGACATAAAAAAAAAAAAACAACAACATGAAGAGAGCCCTGGCCAGTTTAGCTCAGCAGTCAGAGCATCAGCTTGTGGACCAAGGAGTCGCGGGTTCAATTCCAGCCAAGGGCACATACCTCAGTTGTAGTTCATCCCTGGCCCTGGTTGGGGTCATGTGGGAGGCAACCAATCAATGTGTCTCTCTCACATTGATGTTTTTCTTTCTCTCTCTCTCTCTCCCCCACTCCTACTCTGAAGATAAATGGAAAAATATCCTCAGGTGAGGATTAAAAAATCTATATCATCTATATCTATATCTATATATGAAAGTAGAAGAGTTACTCTGTGTTCCTGGGTCTCTCCCATGTATACAGGAGGTATGCATATTACTAAACTTGGTTTCCCTCCTGCTAATCTGTCTCACGTCAACTTGATTAGACCAGCCAGAAAAATCTTGAAAGGCAGAGTAAAATTTTTCTTTCTAGACAGATTTGGCGAGTAAACCAGAACTCACTGGCTGGGACACCACTAGCTACTGGGAACTGCAGCAGCTGACAATGTTGAGATGTCTGATAAAATGTTGCCAAGAGGAGCCCTGATTGGTTTGGCACAGTGGTTAGAGCATCAGCCCGAGGACCAGAGAGTCTTGGGTTCGATTCCGGTCAAGGGTACAGGCCTTAGTTGTGGTTCAGGCCCTGGCCCTGGTCAGGGTCGTGCAGGAGGCAGCCTGTGAGCTGGCCAGTCAATGTCTCTCACATCAATGTATATTTCTCTCTCTCTCCCTCCCTCCCTGCCTCCCTCCCTCTCTCCCTTCCTCCCACTCTATCTGAAGAAAAATGGAAAAATATATTTGGGTGAGGATTAAAAAAAAATGTTGCTGCCCTGGCCGGTTTGGCTCAGCAGTGAGAGTGTCAGCCTGGGGTCCAGAGAGACCCGGGTTCGGTTTCCACTAAAGGCACGTACCTCGGTTGCAGTTTGTCCCCAGCCCCGGTAGGGGTTGTGTGGGTGGCAACCAGTCGATGTGTTCTCTCTCACATCAATGTTTCTCTCTCTCTTTCTCTTCCTCCCTCTCTCCCTCCTGCTCTATCTGAAATGCAAAAATGTCCTCGGGTGAAGATAAAAAAAATGTTGTCAAGAGGAAAAAAAAAGTTGTCTATTATTCATATCAGTGGACTTTGATGGACAGAGATAGTCGATTCTCTGGAGTTAATCATCACTTTGTTCGAAGAGTTTGAAGAACATTGGTTAAAGAAGCATTTTCCTGGCAGAGGACCTAAATAGACACCTCTCCAAAAAGAACATACAAATGGCCAAGAGACATATGAAGAAATGCTGAACATCACTAATCATCAGAGAGATGCAAATTAAAACAACTATGAGGTATCACCTCACACCTGTCGGAATGGCCGCCAACAACAAATCATCAAACAAGTGCTGGTGAAAGTGTGGAGAAAAGGGGACTCTAGTACAGTGCTGGTGGGAATGCAGACTGGTGCAGCCACTGTGGAAAACACTATGGTGTTACCTCAAAAAGTTAAAAATTGAACTGCCATTTGACCCAGTGATCCCACTTCTAGGAATATACCCTAAGAAACCTGAAACACCAATCAGAAAGAATATATGTACCCCTATGTTTGTAGCAGCACTATTTACAATAGCTAAGATCTGGAAACAGCCCAAGTGTCTATCAGTAGACCAATGGATAAAACAGTTGTGGTGCATGTACACAATGGAATACTATGCAACTGTAGGAAAGAAAGATCTCTTATCCTTTGAGATGGCATGGAAGGACCTGGAGAATATTTATGCTAAGCGAAACCAGCCAAGCAGAGAAAGACAAATATCACATGATCTCACTTATTTGTGAAATATAATGAACTAAACAAACTTATGAACCAAAACCCAGAGACATAGACGTGGGGTACAGACAGACACAGATGTGGGGTACTAGAGTCCCCTTTTCTCCACACTTTCGCCAGCACTTGTTTGATGATTTGTTGTTGGCGGCCATTCCGACAGGTGTGAGGTGATACCTCATAGTTGTTTTAATTTGCATCTCTCAGAGGAAGAGTGGTTGGGGGGTGGAGAGATAAACCACAGAACTTACATGCACGTATGCATGACCAATGAACATAGACAACAAAACTGGGGATGGGACGGAGGTCGGGGGGAAGGGGCGGTGGGGGGGAAGGGGAGGAGGGTGTCAATGGTGGGGAATAAGAAACATCTGTAACAAAAACAATTTAATAAATAAAATTTTTTAAAAAGAAGCATTATCCTGACTGATGAAAAATAATGCAGTTATGCTCATCTACCCCTGCCAGAAGGTTATGCAGCATGTTATGTAGTGCACAATAAAAATGTAAAAATAAAATAAAAAATATGAAAGCAGAAATAAAACACTCAATAGAAGGGTTTAAAAATAAAAATCAAGAAAATCGTCCTGGCCGGTTTGGCTCAGCGATTAGAGCATCAGCCTGCAGTCCCGAGAGACCGGGGTTCGGTTCCTGCTAAGGGCATGTACCTTGGTTGCAGTTTGTCCGCGGCCCTGGTTGGTTGTGCAGGTGGCAGCCATTCGATGTGTCCCTTTCACGTCGATGTTTCTCTCTCTTTCTCTGTTCCTCTCTCTCCCTCCCACTCTACCTGAACAAAAAATGGAAAAATGTCCTCGGGTGAGGATAAAAAATAAATAAATAAATAAAATCAAGAAAATCTCCCAGAAACTAGTGTATAATGACAAAAAGATAAAAAACCATCAGAAAACAAAGAAAATTAGATGACCAATCCAGGAAGTCCAACATCTGAATGACAGTACAAAAAAGAGAGAACACAGAGTATCAGAAAGAAAAAAATCCAAGAAAATTCCCCTGATAAGTAGCCCCTGGAAGCTGCCCTGGCCGTGACCTGGCCCTCGGTACATGCAGAAGTAGAAAGTTCAGCCTGCCTGGGCCTCTCACCTCAGAAAGGCAGAAGTAGCCTTCACCGCCTCCATGGCCACCTCCAGCACAGGGCTATTCACTGCCTCTTGGAGGGCACGGCCAGCATCTCTGCACATGGCTGAGCTTGTGAACAGCTTGATCTCCTCTGGCTGCCTAAGAAATAGAAAATGAGGAATAAGTTAGTGAACTTTCACCAACCCTACCAGGAAAAAATACTTCACTTCTTTCCTTCTCCAGTCTGGTCCCTATAGGCCTGATGCTCCACTGCTTTGCTCACCGAGTCAGGATCTCAGCAAAGAGCAGCACGCCCTGCTTGTGCAGCTCTGTGTTGTTCATCCTCAGGCTTCCCTGTAGGCTCCTCACCACCGATTCAATCCCTACCTCAAAATAACATGGCAGAGACAGGAATCAGTACGTGGTAGCTCCTTCACCCCCTGCCCAGGAGAGGTGAGAGGCTCTGCAGAGCACATATTTGTTAGCAGCCCCTTGTGGAGGGGCCCTGACAAGGTTGAGCTGATGGAACAAGACTGTGAGACCTTGAGGGCAAGCCCTTAACATATGTAACTGTCTCCCCGAAATCCAGCACAAGACAAAGCACGGACCCTGGCACCCAAAGTAGTTAATGAATGCCTAGTGACTGAGCTGCACCTTCTCCACTAGACACTCCTATTTCTCCTTCAAGACTCACACTGGATCTCTACTTCTCTAGGAAGTCTTCCCTGATCCACTCAGACAAAGCTGTGGGCCTTCCCTGAGCTCCCACGCCTCCTATACTTTCGTCCAGCAGAGCACTAATCAGTGTGTTTATATTTCTCTCCCTTTCCAGAAGACAGGGACCACGTTATACATATCTCTAAAAATCCAGGTCCCAGCCTGGTGCCTGGCATAGAATAGGAACACAGAATAAGAATGAATGACTGGCCCTGGCTGGTTTGGCTCAGCTGTTAGAACGTCGGCCTTCAGACTAGAAAGTCCCAGGTTCGGTTCCAGCTAAGGGCATGTACCTCGGTTGCAGTTTGTCCCCAGCCCTGGTTGAGCTCGTGCGGGTGGCAACCAGTCAATGTGTCTCTCTCACGTCGATGTTTCTCTCTCTCTTCCTCCCTTTCTCCTTCCTGCTCTATCTGAAGATAAATGCAAAAATGTCCTTGGGTGAGGATTTTAAAAAAATGAATGACTAAATGAGCCCAGTCTAAAAATCCATATGTGATCTTAAAAGTCCCAGGCAGCCCAGCCAGTGTGGCTCAGTGGACTGCGCATCATCCCATGGACTGAGAGGTCACATTTCGATTCCCAGTCAAGGCACATGCCTGGGTTGCAGGCTGGATCCCCAGTAGAGGGGCGTGCACAAGGCAGCTGAATGATGTTTCTCTCTCACGTCGGTATGTATGTATGTACGTATGTATTTATTTATTTATTTTTATCCTCACCCAAGGACATTTTTGCATTTATCTTTGGATAAAGCGGGAAGGGGGGAGGGAGGGAGAGAGAGAGAAAAACATCGATGTAAGAGAGACACATCGACTGGTTGCCACCCACATGATCCCAACCGGGGCCAGGGACAAAGGACAACCGAGGTACGTGCCCTTAGCGGGAACCGAACCCAGGATTCTCTGGTCTGTGGGCCGACGCTCTAACTGCTGAGCCAAACCGGCCAGGGCTCACATCGGTATGTCTATCTCTCTCTTCCTTTCTCTCTCTCTCTAAAAAAAAAAAAAAAAAAAATCAGACAATTGCTTCCTTCCTTCACCAGAAAGGAAGAGAAGAGACAGTTTCAAGAAACTTTAGCCTTGGCCAGTTTGTCTCAGTGGTTAGAGCGTCTGCCTGTGGTCCAGAGAGATCCAGGTTCGGTTCCCGCTAAGGGCACGTACCTCGGTTGCAGTTTGTCACCAGCCCCGGTTGGTCGTGCGGGTGGCAGCCACTCGATGTGTCTCTTTCACGTCGATGTTTCTCTCTCTCTCTCTCTGTTCCTCTCTCCCCCTCCCACTCTACCTGAACAAAAAATGGAAAACTGTTCTCCGGTGAAGATAAAAAAAAGAAAAGAAAAGAAAAGAAACTTTAAATGGCCCAACTGGTATGGCTTAGTGGTTGGGCATCAACCCATGTACCAAGAGGTTGCTGATTCAAATCTCAGTTAGGGTACATGCCCAGGTTGTGGGCCAAATCCCGAGTGTGGGGCATGCAGGAGGCGGCAAATCAATGTCCTATCTCATTGATGTTTCTATTTCTCTCTCTCCCTCTCTCACATTCTCTCTCTAAAATCAATAAAGAAAAACATATTTTTAAAGAAACTTTAAACAAGTGAATCAGCAAAACTTAGGCACTAATGAGATGGACAGATATCTGGAGCACAGGAAAGGACTGAATCCAAGGTTGACTAAAGTTGCTCTTAAGGTGCAACAGGAATTCATTTAGTGGCTAATAGGAGTACCCTTCTCTTGCTGAACATACATCCTTCTGCTAATCAGTGAAGATCAGAACTGTTTGGATATTACTGCTTACATATGAATCTGGTAATAAATTTGAGCTGATGGAAATGATCAGAACCAGCATGCTCCTCCAAGATGTAGTTAGTCCCTCATCACTGCTGTGGCCATCCAGCTTCAAAGGACTGCCCACCCAACCCAGAGCTAGTATAGAACCCCCACTACCAACCATACACCGTGTGGCACTTGGAAAAGAAGAGTGGCTCCTCTGCCAGAAGTATCAAGCAGTTGTAGCTGGACCAGATAAGCACTTCACTGGAAGAGGAAAGATGCTCAAAGAGGAACTCTGGCGAGGAGAGAGAACAAAAACAATAAATGACACCTATGTAATCATGATCCCTTAACTAATGCTAGGGCCTTGAATTTATTCGGCATCTCACATCTGTTAGTTTATCTGTTCACACACCTTCTCTGTGAGACATGATCATTAATTCACAGATAAACCTGAAAAATGCCCTCAGGGTTATGGTATAACCTAATCTTTTTAACAGATAGAGAAACTGAGACCCAGAGAAAGGTATTATTAGTGGTAGAGGTGGGACTAGAATTCAGATCCCCTAATTCTCAGGATGGGCAAGCAGCATGATGCAGAGAAAAAAATTTTTAAAACCAGAGAGGCTTGCTTTTATATCCCTTCTCTGACAATGACTAGCCTTGTTAATTTAAAACACTTATTTCCCTGCTTTGATCCTCAGTTTCCTTATCCATAGAAAGAAAAGATTTACAAGGCACCTTAGGGACTATTTCCTGGCTCATAACAAGCCCTTGAGAAACATTAATTCCCTTTGCCTCCCTGGTCCATGGGTCTTGCCACCACCCCACACTAGGTGTTGATTCCTAGACGGTCAAACAAATACAAAGATTAGTAACAAATTGCTCAAGGTCATATAAGATATCTGTAGCAAGAGAATTCAGACATCATGAGACCTACTTCCTAGAGTCTGTCATGTACAACTGAACCTGCCACCAAAACGCATCACTCCAATATTAGCATTATCACAGAACCCCAGCAAGACTGCTGCTATTGCTGACTGAAGGGTCTTGTCAGAACTCTAGGGTTCTTGTAGGAAAAGGATGGAAGGGGCCCTCTACCTGGGATGTCAGCATGAATGAAGGCTGAGGCATGCTTTGCTGGAGAGTGGACTAGTACCGCAGTTATACAGTGGGCACTGGCCACCTGCAGAATTTCATCTCTGGAGAGGAGGAGCTGGAGAAACAGAAAGCAGAAAGTGCCACACTTACACCACTGACAGAACCAGAGGGAAGCAGCTCGAGTGCCTCAGGGCAGGAGCCCAATTGTCTCTGAATCCCTCCTGCACAGTCACCAGGCTAGTGCTCAGGGAGGGCAGTTATGGACTATGGAAAGGAGTCTCTATGAAGAGCAGCAGGTGAGAACAGAACAAAAGAACACAATGGCACTCAAAGAACACTAAAACCATCACCAAGAAGGGCTCAGGCCTACACTGACAAAAGTACTTTCACAGCCCTCACCTGGTTTTGATGTTTGCAACAAGCCTGGGACATAACAAGGGAAGCTTCTACCACTTTACAGTGTGCAGAAAAGAGTTACCTCAGCAGCCTGAGACTGTTATCTTTACAAAGGCCAGTCTGCAGGAATGACCACTGACTAGGTTTTGGAAGTTGGATTTCGGGAGAGTTCCCATCATTCCCTGAACTGATAGGATTGGCTTACTGTGACTGGGAATTGAACCGGCAACCTCTTGATGCGTGGGGTCGACGCTTAACCACTGAGCCACGCCGGCCAGGCTGTATTCTTTTTTTAATTGACTTGAGAGAAAGACATCAATTTGTCATTTCCACTTATTTATGCATTCATTGGTTGATTTTTGTATGTGCCCTGACAGGAGATTGAACCTGCACTACAATCTTGGCATATCAGGACAATCTAACCAACTAAGCTACCTGGCCAGGGCGTTTTGTATTCTTTCACTTGATAAATCATAGCCGTGAGTTTGACTCTACACTTAATCCTGTGAGTCCTCCTAGTGAATCACTGAACCTAGGGGTGGTCTTGGGGACTCTCAACATACAGAGGAAGGAATTAAAGTTCATGAGTTTAAATTATTTACTCCAGGATTCACAGCTAATAAGTGGCAAAGCTAAGGCAGAAACTCAAATGAGTCATGTCCAGATCTACTTTTCCCATAACTGAGATGCCTCCCATATCAAAATTTTATATGAGGTTACTTTTCTACTCAAAACATTTCAGTGAATTTTCATTGTATAACACCCAAAATCCTACTGAACACCATAGCTCTCAGGAGTTCCTATGACACTTTCAGAAATCAAGGAAAGAGTTAAGGCAACCACAGATTTTAAGTGTAGTAGAAACTGGCCTTCTGGGGAAAAGTGATGAGTAGAACACATATCATGGGATAAAGAAGAGTATGCCTGGCTTTAGAGCATCAAAAGAAAAGGATGAAGTTACACTCATGTCTGATAGAGATGCATCTGAGGACTGCATGCTTAAACCCATCTCAGTCATGTGAGACTCAAAAATAAACACATAGAAAGCCTGTCTCTTAGTATGCAAAGGAGTTTCTAGATATTAACCGCTATCTTGTTCTTTTTTATATAGAAAAATGACATATTTTTTTTAAGACACTACTGATGTAAAGCAAACCATTTTTTTATGTACTACTAAGAAAGAAAAAGAGCCATAATTGAACTATGACACATCATTGACGGTAAAATGTCTCACAACTTCAGAGCTGTTAAAATGTGGGGGGGGAATATGTGTCTTGCCCTAGCTGGTATGGCTCAGTGGACCAAAGGATTGCAGATTCTATTCCCGATCAAGGGCATGTACCTGAGTTGCAAGTTCGATTCCTGGCACCAGTCAGGGCAATTAAGAAAGGCAACCAATCAATGTATCTCTCTCACATTGATGTTTTTCCCCCTCCTCCCCGCACTCCCTTCCACTCTCTCTAAAAATCAATAGGAAAAAAAAATCCTCAGGTGAGGATTAAAAAAGAAAATGTGTCTTACAAAAATTATATAGTTAAGCAAAACAATGGTTCATGGTTTAAAATGTATATTCCTGCCCTGGCCAGTTTGGCTCAGCGGTTAGAGCATCGGCCTGCGGTCCGGAGAGACCCGGGTTCGGTTCCCGCTAAGGGCACGTACTTCGGTTGCAGTTTGTCCCCGGCCCTGGTTGGTCGTGCGGGTGGCAGCCACTCGATGTGTCCCTTCACGTCGATGTTTCTCTCTCTCTCCCTTTCTCTCTCTTCCTCCCATTCTCTGTACAAAAAATGGAAAAATATCCTCGGGTGAGGATAAAAAAAATAATAATAAAAAATAAAATAAAATGTATATTCCTTGTAAGTCATTGAGAAACACTCCAACATAACATTTCCATCATAAACAAAATTAATTATAAAAATCTATCTTTAAAAATATCCTAATTACCCCTGGCTGGTTTGGCTCAGTGGTAGAGCGTCGGCCTGTGGTCCAGAGAGACCCGGGTTCGGTTCCTGCTAAGGACAAGTACCTCGGTTGCAGTTTGTCCCTGGCCCTCGTTGGGTCGTGTGGTGGGTCATGCGGGTGGCAACCACTCAATGTGTCCCTTTCACATCGATGTTTCTCTCCCCCCACCCCCTCTATCTGAATAAAAAATGAAAAAATGTCCTTGGGTGAGGATAAAAAATATATATATATATCTCCTAATTAGAAGATTCCAAAATGGCGGCAGAGTGACTAGAAGCTGCACAGACTGTCTCCTGGGACCAAACTGAATTACAACTAACACACAGACAAATTGTCGGAAAAACCAACAGAAAAGCAGCTTGGAGGACCATATAACCAGGGACACTGACTCAATCCTGATAGGATTGCAGAGGCATGAGAGGGGGACTGGGAGCCCACAGACAGCAGCGGCCTTAGCTGTGAGCAGTGCCCTCGGGGTTACCCTCCCAAGCAGCTTCACAGTGCAGAGCCAGGACAGATGCTAAAATAGCCACAGCCACTCACCTTGGGTTCCGGCAGAGGGAGGGTGGACTGCACAGGAACTGTGTGAGGACACTCGGGATTTGGAGGGCACTCAGAGTTTTTGCTGAGTTGCGGCCACACAGGACAGTGTCCATCTTACTCCTTCCCAGGGCTCTGGGGAAGGCAGCAGCCCCTCCCTCGGAGATTCAACCCCACCCAGAAAGCCATTGAAATGTAAATTGAGGCTCATTAACAACCAGTATCTGCCCCACCCTCAGATATCCCCTTACACTGAGCACCTGAGGGAGTTTTTCATTCAACTGAGAAACCAAGGCTCTTCAAGTAACCACTACTGAGAGCCTCCAGGCAAAAAGCTGGAGCATAACTAAACCATTCTTGGGCTAGCAACTCTAACCAAGAAAGTAAGACTTGACAGTGGTGTTTAACGCTCATCCAAACCCAGGAGAGGGAGCCACAAACAGTACAACACCAACACCCACAGGGAAAATTTGGCAGGTTCCAAAGCCCACGGTGGTAGCCAAAATGGTGCAACAAAGAAACAAATGCCAAATGAAAGAACAAGAGACCTCTACCAAAGATGAGATAAATGAGGAGCAGTTAAGCAAGTTAACAGAGCTAGAATTCAGAGCCATGATCTTGAGGAAGCTCAACAGCATGAGTAAGGACATCAACACCATGAGTAAAGACACAGAAATGTTGAAATTCAACCAATTGGAAATTAAAAACCACCAAGAAGAAATGAAGATTGACATATCAGAAATAAAGAACACATTGAAAGGTCTAAACAGCAGAGTAGAGGAAGCTGAGGACTGGATCAGTGAATTAGAAGACAGGGTAGAAATAATCAACCAATCAGAAAACCATAAGGAAAAAACAATTAAAAAACATAAAGACAGCTTAAGAGAACAGTGAAACAACTGGAAACATAATAATATTTGCATCATAGGAGTCCCTGAAGAAGAAGAAAATGAGCAAGATTTAGAAAATATAGTCGAAGAAATAGTGACAGAAAACTTCCCCAATTTGTTGAAGGAAGAAAGCATTCAAGTTCAAGAAGCACAGAGAGCCCCAAGTAAGAAGAACCCAAACAGGCCCACACCAAGACACATAGTAATTAAAAGGCCAAAAATTAAAGACAAAGAGAATCCTAAAGGCAGCAAGAGATAAGCACCAAAAAAAGGCTAAGGGAATACATTAGCACCAAACCAGCACTGCAAGAAATATTAAAAGGACTGCTGTAATTAGTAGAAGAAATAGGAAGAAAAATATAACCACACTAAACAAAAATGGCAATAAATAAGTACATATCAATAATCGCCTTAAATGTAAATGGACTGAATGCTCCAATAAAAAGACACAGAGTAGCTGATTGGATAAGAAAGCATGACCGATCTATAAGAGACCCACCTCACAACAAAAGACTCATATAGGTTGAAAGTGAAGGGATGGAGCTCTGGCCGGTTTGGCTCAGCGGTTAGAGTGTCGGCCTGCGGTCCGGAGAGACCTGGGTTCGGTTCCCGCTAAGGGCATGTACCTCGGTTGCAGTTTGTGCCCGGCCCTGGTTGGTCGTGCGGGTGGCAGCCACTCAATGTGTCCCTTTCACATCGATGTTTCTCTCTCTTTCTCTCCCTCCTGCTCTATCTGAACAAAGAATGGAAAAGTGTCCTCGGGTGAGGATAAAAAAAAAAAAGAAAGAAAGTGAAGGGATGGAAAAAAATCTTCCAAGCAAACAAAAAGGGAAAAAAAGCTGGGGTAGCAATACTCATATCTGATCAAACAGATTTCAAAATGAAGGCCATAACTAGAGACAAAGAAGGCTACTACATAATATTGAAAGGATCTATCCAACATGAAGATATAACCTTGATAAACATATATGCAACCAATATAGGAGCACCAAAATATATTAAAAATCTTCTGGAGGACTTCAAAGGAGAAATCGACAGCAATACAATCATAGCAGGGGACTTCAACACCCTGCTGACACCACTGGATAGATCCTCTAGACAAAAAATCAGCAAGGAAACAGAGACTCTTAATGAAGCACTAGACCAAATGATTTAATAGATATATCTACAGAGAATTACACCCCAAAACTACAGAATTCACATTCTTCTCCAGTGCACATGGGATATTCTCAAAGAGGGACCACATGTTAGGACACAAACTAAATCTCTACAAGTTCAAGAAGACTGAAATCATATCAAGTATCTTCTCAGGTCACAATGGCATGATCTA